CTGATCTAGGATAAGGCACTTAACAATGAAGCATTGGGGTTGGAGGTATTTTGTTTAAAAAGGCTTGTGGTTATAGCCATTGTATGCACTATCCAGAAGTATTCCTTTGATGGTTGCTCTCCTAACCAATAAGATTATCATTCACTAATCTACCTAGTACTACTGTTATATTAACCTTTTAAAGGCTTGTTCTACTGTTAATAGTCCTTAAAGGTTACTTATGTGAGTGGTCGTCAAATGCGAACCATGTATTAAAATCTTCTTGAAAAGGTTGTGGAGAAAATCTCTAGGCCAGACTGTGTGTTGTGGATACTCCCATCGCTCTGCAACCTCTCCCTCTCTCATCCCCTTATCAAAACCGCTCCCCTTATCATTCGCAGCTCCTGTTAACCCTGCAAGCCAAAGCCCTAACCGGTTGGGTGGTACTAGCTGGACAACCAGTGGGAAAGCTTGCCAGACAGTGATATCAATGGCAAGCTATGCGGTTTTAGCTGCTTAGACTCCAGCAGTACCCCAGTGCACACTCTGGAGTCCCCAAGGCTTGGCTCTTGCCAACCTGTGCCTAATACCTTCCAGAATTAGGTACGCAGGATGCGTCCCTCCATCTCTGGAATTTCCACATGTAGGTGGAATGCATGGAATTCTGAATTTGGTTTGGATACTCTTAAGCATGGGGATGGGTTTCTGCATGTGTCAGATACATGGCTGACCAAAATAAATTTGACTGCTGACCCATTTCTAATCTGCCCTTCCTCTTCCTACATATTGCAATGAGTCGTTTCCTTCCTTCTTCTCCTACCACCTCAAACCCTTCCGATACAGTTAGTCTCTACCCACCCCTCCCACAGCACTAAGACTGCCCTTAGTCAGAGCCCATCAGTGCCATTCTCCACCTGCTCCTTTTGCCTCCTGAAATTCCTTGATCTTGTCGCCTTCAACACCAAATGTTCACCTGATATTCAGCCGGCAGCAGATTACAGCTCCACTAACCTACTCTGTTGTAGAAAAAATGTTTGAAAGGATTTCTGTCCATTAATGGTATTAATGCTCTGAAGAACACCAATCCTATAAGTAAACGTTTGACATGGATTTCAGAGTAATGGACCGAGATTCACAAACCCTGTCCGTTAGGAAATATCTAAACTTAGAGCTTTTTAGTGAATATTTACAGGACAAACTTGTTAAACGTGGTAGACAGGGTCCATAATTTTAGCCCGCTTCCTTTCCCCTATTTTAGGATTATTTCACATTTGTTATTTATTCTGAGTTGGCAAGTCGCCATAAAAGGCACAAGGGCAGCAGATGTCCCTTTGCAAACTCACGTCAATGACCCTTCTACACAGTACCTTTTTGGGTGTATTGCTCTTCCGGTATAACACAGATTTACAAATCCATGGTAAATTGGTACTTGTTTTAATGTTGTTGCTCTGCACTTGGATTTTCTTATGATCACCCTGCACTTATGAGGCCTTCAACAACAACAACAAATTGCATTTATATAGCACTTTCACGTCGGAAGGATGTTCCATGGCACTGGACAGTTGAGGATTTGCTCCCGATTTGGGGTTGGATTCGGTAGTGGTGGAGGCCAAGACTTGGGAAGATAACCCCAGAAGGAGGTAAAGGAGGGGGCGAGGCAAAGGGATCCGGGATGGAGTTCCAGAGATTGGGAACAGAAAGGCTATAGACCTGACCACTGATGGTGGGATGGGAAGGGCGGGGGATGTGAAGCAGGCAGGTGCCCGCCAAGCAAATTGAATTGGCGGAGGGTAGGGTTTAGATCAGAGTTAGGGTGGGCAAAGACACTGCAACAGTCTTTAAAGAAGTGAGCAACATTTTTCTATAACAGTTGGTTCCAGAACTCTTGCTTTTACCACCTTACAATTATAACAATAATAATAATCATAATAATAATCCTTGCATTTGATATAGCGCCTTATCACTTCTTCGAGATGTCTCAAAGAGCTTCACAGACTACTGTAAAGTGAATTGACTGTTTTGTGCATATTTTGTGGGCAAAATTCGGCAGCCAATTGCGCACAGCTTTGTCCCACAAACAGTCGTGGATTGAGTGGCTAATTTATTATTTTTTTAAGAAAATTCAAAAATAAGAGAGATCGATTCAAAAGAAAGACCAAAAAAGCAAATGGACGATCCAGGAGAAATGCCTTTATAAAAGATTGATAGGTTTGTGGAACTAACAACCAGGAAGGTGGTGGAACAAGTAACTTCAAAGGTTTCAAGAAAAAAAACTTATTGACTTAGTATTGAGCATTACTTATAATTTGAGGTTTTTTGATAGCTGCATAGTCACGTACCTTAAAGTCACACAATAAGAGGCATTCCGAAGATGTAGAGCAATGCGGCAGATGTTCTTGTGGGTAAATTTAAGGTAATGAATGTTCATAATAATAATCCTTGCATTTGATATTGCGCTTTTCATGTCTGCTAGATGTCTCAAAGCACTTCACCGAATGTACTGTAAAGTGAATTGACTGTATATTTGTGAGAGAAACGTGGCAGCATGTTTAACAAGATGCTGTGAACACATGTGCATAATAAAGTGGTGTCCATTAGCAGAAGTGGAAATAAACACAAATTTGTGTGATTTATGCAGTTATTAAAGGTTGTCAGTGAAGCTGCTGCAATCAACAAATTTAATGGAATAGTGGGTTGGATCTTCAAGGCATTTGATTAACAGTCAAAATAAGTTACTTTAACCTTGTGCAGACCACTGTTGAGACCACATTTGGAATATTGTGTGCAGTTTGGGGGTACTTTGCTTTCAAAGTGATTGTTGTGGAGCTCTGAGGAGCAGCTTGCGAAGCTCAAATGTATTGGACAAAAGATTGAGAAGTGTTGAGACAAGCACTAGGTTTTTAAATGTTGAGTTAACATTGATGTAGCTGTAAGCAGCTACTTGGACCACAAGAGTAGAATCAGATATTGTGAATAATTGTGATTTAGACAGGAAGCCATTTAAAAGCGCTTCTTCCATTCTTTTAATTGCAGGTTCTTGTTTGATGCAGGATATCATTTTCAGTGGTGCCAATTTTTTTTGTGTGACTTTATGGTTTAAAATGCAAGCCTGACAGCAAGGTATTTAAAATCCATTCAGAATTATTGATGTGTAGCATTTTCAAATGAAAATATAGGAACACTGGTACAATGAGGATTAAGGAAATTCATATGTAAAATGATTCTCAATAACTCAAACCTGATGCGGGAATGCAGTAATTAAATCCTGCAATTCAGATGACATTGCAAACCATGAATGTGCATTGAGTACTTTTGTCATCAAGCCCCCTATTAGATTATGACTTAATCATTGAGTGGTATCTATTATTTCAATTAATTCAGCCTTAAAGCTCAAGAGTGTTGTGATTATACAGTTTCAGTGTTACAAAGCTGCTGGATGGAAGATTCATGAGCTACTTGATAGAAGAGAACTTGTTTGAAGTGAAAGTGACTCAAGTAAACGGTGCAAATTCATTGATCTTCTGTTGATCAAAAGCTATCTAATTCGTTTAAAATTATTTTCACAAAATTACCAAACTTCACTGAAAGCTCTCCTGTTGACGGGATTTATTTACTGGCCTCTGATTTATCCTATTTAGATGAATATCAATTGGGAAACACTGAGGCTGTGTTCATTTAGTGTTTGTGAGTTTAGCGGAGTATGGTTAAACCAAATTCCACATAAGACTTGCTGTCGCTACATTTTTAGGTACTATTGTAGACTTTTTTTAAAAAAATTGTACAACGAATGTACATTACTTATACAACAAAAGGATTTATTAGGGCTATCTTAATTGCTAGATTATGGCAACTTAACTTTTCTTTGAAATAAACCAGATTCTTTGAAATAACCCCAACTTATTTTTTTCTTTTACAACTGAACAAAGGCAAATGCAAAATTTCCCTTTGAACAAAAGTTAACAAGGGTACAGAGGCCCTCATTGTATTCATGGAGTCCTGTAGCTCAGGTTAGAGCACTCGCCACACAAGCGAGAGACCTGGGTTTGATTCCCGGCAGAGCAAAATGTTGGGCAAGTTTCCTTACTCCTCACGCCTGTTTACCTAGCGGTAAGTTGGAACCCGGTTATTAGTCGATTGGCGGATTGCTTTTCTGGGGATAATAATCCCTCAAAGAAAACACAATAATAATTTGGTCACTCAATCCCACGACTGTTTATGGGACACTGATGTGCACAATTGGCTGCCGAGTTTCACCCACAAAATATGCATAAAACAGTCAATTCACTTTATAGTATATCCTGTGAAGCGCTTTGAGACGTGTGGAAGATGTGGAAAGCTATATATCAAATGTAAGGTTTTTTTTTATTCCCTCCAGCGTGGTGGAAAAGAAAAGTGCTGGTCACTTCTATCCTAATAAGACATGTTTTGTAAGCCAGAAATGACATAGTTTCCGAAAAGCCCTCACTGAAATTTGTTCTGTTAAACTAAACTGAAATAATTTTGCTAAGGATTTTTTTTAGAAGTTTCATTTGTAAGATTTAAAACTGGAATTCTGGAATGCTTGACAGAGATGCTACACACTTTAGATCTGAGAGCTGTACTCCTCCTCTGAATTCTGAACAACTCGGCCTTTTTCAAGATCGTGTTGATCAGGGCTGTTTTTAATTGTTCAGAAGCGCTGTGACAAATTTAGATGAACTTAACGGCTGATGATTCATGTAGAATTTGCAGGTGGGTAGCATCGTGGATAGTTGAAGGTTAAAGGCCCAGTATTGTCCTACTGCTGTAGTTGGTTGAGAGGTGTGTCTTGAGCAGTCCAAACTGTTTTTCAGTGGTGGCGCTGTCCAAATTGTTGTGCATCATGAGCACGTTACTAGACATTTCTTGAGGTTAACTGGAGATTGCACCAATGTTCTCATGATGGCTGTGTACAAACCTGAGTTTTTCTTTTGAAAAAAGGAAAATTGAGGACAATTTTAACAGATGTCTGTACTACCTACTTTTTTTTATTTTTTTTATAGACCTTCACAAACTCCTCTAATCTTTGGATCCCTTCATCTGCTTGGGGAGAATGCTTCCTGGAGGTACTATTGTAGATGTGTGTATGCACTTTGTTTTATAAAATACCCCTTCAAAAGGTGGTGAATAAACAACTTGAAAGTGTAAAATGAGTCACTGATGTATTTCAATGTGTATTTTAGTTTGTTGCATTTTGATGTTGCATTGTAATATGTTAACAACAGCTGTTTCAATTGGTCACGGTAGTGATACAGTTTCTGTTGGCCAGGATCAAATTTTAAGTGTTTAATGATCATTAATTTAAGTGTTTTTTTTGTGGTGTGTATTTTGTACTGATCCGATCCAGTCTTCTGATTTATATTTCTCTCTTTCCCCCTCCCCCTTTATAACCATAGTAGATTTGTTGTACCCTTGTTAATTCTTTGTATTTCAAACAATGGGATCAGTTTAGTAGCACATTTGATATTTATCACTGAATTTACCTGGATGTGCTAGAGACCAACCCCCAACAAGTTTCTCATTGGCTACTTCCATAATGTTGGGTCTGTGAATTTGGATCTCGCTTGCGGTTTTCTACTGATGGAAAGCCAGATACTATCTTCCAGAGTTCATTGAAAGCTGACATTCCACTAATTGGGACTCAAATCCTGGGGTCCCTGTGTCACGGATCTAGTCATTGAGGATTTTGCCTCCAGCCTGTGCCAGTACATCCAATAAACTAAACGGTGAAATTACAAATGTACTGATAAATTGACCCTTTGGCTTGCATGTTTTTCTGTCCTTAAACATTTTAATGGATTGGCTATTAAATTGGCTGCAAACGTACCTGTTCTCTGGTAGCTGCTCTTTATATTTGACCTGATTGTGCGTTGTACGAGAAGATTTTATATAATATCGTATGCATGTGCGGCAGTTTCGTAGATGTTGCAATTTTATGCTAAAGCTTGTATGAAAAAGGAAAGTGGCAGCTAAAATTGCTGCCTATGTGCTTAATTTCTCACTTGAGAAATATGTGTAGATTCCAAAGTGGCCTTTCTTTATAAATCTAAACAGTAAGCAAGTGTCAGGAACTTTGGGGGAATACAGTTGAACCTGTCCTATTCTTAGCTACTATTCATATGTGTTTTCTAGCGGGGTCATTGGATAGCAATAAGGGGCAGAAACCTTGACTAATCCCCTCCCCACCTGACCAGCGCGGATGTACAGAGGCTAATTGCAATTCCTCCAATGCTGCACAATCTTGCATCTCAGCATCGACCCTTGGTCTTATTTCTCTATGGCTCAATTTCATACTGGGAAATGGCTTCAGCAATTAAACCATGGAAGAGTTAGAACTTGTATGCATTTCTTGCATTGTGATTTAGGATTACATCCAGTAATCTAGTAGTTTTCAGTGTTTAATTATTCGTTTCGTTATTCAAAATGGCTTTTTGGCAGTTTGACTCTGTTGGTAGGGTTATTAGGTTGTGTTTCAATTCAATTGGATTTCAAACCATTGTTTAACACTCTGGATAGTAATAGGGGAATTATGCTATTGTTGCTGGTGCTCATTTGGATTGATGTTAAAAGCAAAATCTACTCTGCCTTTATGAGTACATGATTTTTCCCAGTGCCCTAATCAATAATCCTCCAGGTTAATTGGTTATTCATCTCATGGGTGACTTTCCATGCAAATAGTGACTGTTTGTTTTCAAAAAACCCTCACATTAGACTGATTATGAAGACCTTCGAGCAGTTTTGATATGACAGTACAGAAAAGCAAGTTCTTAATAATAATAATCCTTGCATTTGATACAGTCCTTATCATGTTTTGAGATGTCTCAAGTGCTTAATAGAATATACCGCAAAGTGAATTGACTAGATTTTGAGGGCGAAATGCAGCTTCTGACTTATGGTGTGAAATATTCTTTGGGTGTATTATAAAGCTTGTGCATCTTCAATAAATGTTAAAATTGTCCAGCCAACATGACGCTAAAGAGATGCTACCCGTTTGAAGGGCGATATATAAACGCAAGTATTTGTAAGTAGTAAAGCGTGGAAATTATGCACTCGTCATTTCAACACGTAAATTATTTCAGAAGTCCAAAAATAAAATTTCTGCCAACTAATTGAAATATTTTGGAATTTGGATTGTGAAACCTTCTCGTTCTAGAATGAAGGTGCATGAATATTTGAACAACAACAACCCATGTTTGTGTCGTGCCTTTTACCCAGGAAAACGTCTTGAAATGCTTTTCAGGCACAGAGTGGATCACCGAGTGGGGTGGGGGAGGGGCGGGTAGGTGGAAGATGACTGAAAGCTCAGAGGAGGTAGGATTTAAAAAAAAATTTAATGTCTGGTTGGGTGGGGGCATATTTTTTTAAAATGTTAGGCAAAGATATTTAGGGGACGGTCAGTTTCGAGGCAACATGGGTATAGTGACTGAAAATTCGCCATGGATTGGTGGCGGAGGACATGAGGCATGCCTTAGTTTGCAGGTTGGCACAGTGGGAGAGTAACCCTGGAGCAGATTGTAGCAGAGGGATGATTTAAAATTTAATGAAAGTCTGAACAAGACTTTTGGGTTCTAGTGGCACACAGAGCCAAGGGAGTCTGAATTGGTGTTGGGAATGTACAGCCAAGTATTGAAGAGGATGAGAGTGTGGAATTCTGTTGGAGCTGGACATTATAGGGATGGAATAAGGGAACCTAGCGAAGAAAATGTTTGAGAAATCAAGGGTGATGAAGGTATGAACGGGAGGTTCAACTGCTAGATTGTGGAGTTCGAAAGAAAATAAAGCTGCAAGGTTGTGGGCTGACTCTTCATTCACTGAGGATCCTATGAGTGTAATTTGTCATTTCATAGGTGAGGGGAGAGGGGGGGTGGTGCTGAATTTCAACTATAGTTTGGCTCAGTTAAAATAGCACTCCTGCCTCTTCTGGGGCAGAAGGTTGTAGGTTAAAGCTGCATGTTGAGACTTAATGCTCACAGTCTAGTCCTCTGTGGGGAGCTGCCGGCTGTAGATATAGATTTAATTTGGCCACCAATTCCCAACAGGTGAAAGTTAATTATAGTCGCTGACGTGGTTTATTTGAATTTAAATTTTTGTAAAAAAAACTCTTGAAACCTTGGTAAAGGGCCAAAGGCCTTGTTGCAGAACATGACCAAGGTTTCAAGCAATGAGAGAGGCTAAATTTTGGTGAACGATCAGGTGATTTCGAAGGCCTGTACCTTCTAAGAGGGAGTGAAAGAGATCTGTATGTTTGAAAGCTATGGAAAAAAGCAATTGGATAGAGAAAATTGTACAGTGAGTTTGGCCTTGGAGTTTAGGTGATGTATTTGGAGTTCAGCAGGAATAAGAGGAAAGTTTAGAGGAACAAAGGACTAGCACAAGCTACTCAAATTTTGAGATTAACTTGTTTACTGCAGTATTAAGTATATTGAAAGCAAAGTTGTTTAGTTTGGCTGTAAGGAATGGTTTGAGCTTTTTAGCTTTGAAACACCCTTATTCAGTGAAGATTTTACAGAGGTAGAAATATGCTGAATGGAATATAAAAAGTATTTCAGATTCCATTCAGCATAGGAAGAGGAACGAGGTCACAGGTTCTGGGTTGTGAAGGAAGCTTTAGGACACACTAGGAAATGTATATATGTGCAATGGGTAATTAACAGTTCAAACTGGTTATGGGGGAGGGTTGTTGAGGTCAGGTTACTGGACTCTTACAAAACCACTTGATGTTTTTTTGCAGGCTTAGTATTCTGGAAGAACAAGATAAAAATGAGTTGAAGAGCCTTCATTATCTCTTGTGATTGTAGCCCGTGAGCCAAATTTGTAATGAGATTAGTTAGTCTGGAGTATAGAAATTCCACTGGACTAGTTTGTGTTTTTGTTTTGTCCTATGAGTTATATGGAATTTTTTGACTGCTTTGCAGAATGATACTGAAACCTTTAGTATAGTTCCAGCATATGTGCAACTGAAATCTATGGCTAAGGAAATGCATCAAAATAAAGCTAGGAATTGTTCCAATAAACTTATTGTGAAATAAAAGTTGCAGCCAAAAGTAAATTCTACTTGTATGTAGTATTTTCTTTGATACTGTTTTGGTCAGCCAGGTGTATGATCCATACGAAAATCTAATGCTATGCTTAAGGTCAGACAGTGGTAGCATGCCACCTAGACATGACAATTCCTATGACTTACCAAATCCAGAGACTATTAGCCACAGTTTGGAAGAGCCAAGGCTTAGGGATCCCAGAATGTTGATTTGGGGCAAGACTTAAACACTGCTGGAGTCTAACCAGCTAAAACTACACATCTTGCCATAAAAATTGCTGTCTGGAAAGCTTCCTGTTGCTTGACCATCTTGGAATCCCCCACCCATTTGGACTTTAATTTGCAGGATTAATGGGAGCTGAGTGGGAAGAGTCTCTGCCCCCAGTAACATTTTTACTGGGAATTAATTATCCTTATCCTTGCATTTGATATAGTGCCTTTCAAGTTGAGAAGAAGTCTTCAAGTGCTTCACAGGATTTACTGTAAAGTCTAGAGACTGTATTTTTTAGACAAACATGGCAGCCAATGTGTCACAGCCATGACCCATCAACAACGATTAAGTTTTGGAACGTAAGTTGTTAAACAGTAAAAGTTGACCAGGTTCATCTAAATTGTCCAGTATTATGGTTTGTGGTTCTGTCCTTGAATAGTTCAGATCCTACTTCTCATACCGTCTCCAATTCATCTCCACAAATGGCTTCTCCTCTAGTCCCGGCACTGTCTCATGCAGCGTTCCTCAGGGCTCTGCCCTTGGTTCTCTCTTCAATATCTATATGCTCCCTCTTGGTGGCATCATCCGCAGACATGGGGTCAACGTTCACATGTATGCGGATGACACCCAACTATCTCTCTACCTCCATCCACCCTTGACTCCAGGGCCACTGCTGTCCTGACAGAATGTCTGTCAGACATCAAGTCCTGGATGAGAGCCAACTTTCTTCAGTTGAACGTCAACAAGACCAAGGCCCTCCTGATTGTCTCCCGTCAGCGCCTCCTCACCTTATTATCCAAGGATGCAAACTCCACCTTACTAAGCCAGTCTGGAACCTTGCTGTCTTGTTTTACCCTCAACTATTCTTTCTATCCCACATCTGTGCCATGACCCGCTCTGTCTTCCCCCAATTCCGCAATATCGCCCGGCTCTGCCACTGTCTCACACCGCTGGCCGCTGAAACCCTCAAACACGCGTTGGCCTTGCTCCCCTCCTACCTCTGTTACCTCCTAACCCCCTACCAACCTGCCCGCTCCTTCCGCTCGTGGGCTGTGGCCAGCGTCACGTCGTCCGCCTCGCCCACCCCACCATTGGTGGGCGGGCCTTCAGCCACTGCCCCCATGCTCTGGAACTCCATCCCGCAGTTCCTCCACCTCGCCTCCTCCCTTACCTCCTTCAAAACCCATCTCAAGACCCTCCTCTTCGACCGTGCCTTTAACCACCCTCCTTCTCCCCCTGCCCCTCACCCTCCGCATCCCGACCCCCAGCTCGGGTCCGAAAACTGATTGTCCAGTGCCTTGGGACGTCCTCTCGACGTGGAAGGCACTTTACAAATGTAATTTTGTTGTTGTATTAATCGAGGTATGCAGGGATTCTTGGATGTATTTTGCTTTGTGTAGCTACGTGTTTTTTGTAGCACAGAAAAAACAAGACACTGACACTACGTTACTGCACATGCAAGACTTTTTCACTTGAGGTGTTCCTGTGCATGTTCATATATTGAGCAAATAGCTTTACATTGACCGTTGGCAGTAAATGGATTAATCATGTTAGTGAGTGAAACTGCAGTTTTACTGAGAAGATGGTCATGCTTGATGTCTGCTGATGAATGATTACATGACAGACTTCAGCAACTGATAGCAGTAAGAGTGACACTATATTCCTACAAACCCATCTGATGATTTTTTAATGGATATCTGGAAAACTGCTGACTTTATTGTGAGCATTCTGTATTGGGTGGGTTTCTATCTTTCTGACACGGCTTTTAGTACCAACCACTTAAAAAGAATGGAAGAGATTGCTTTATAAGCCCCATATTTAAAGCTACAGATACAAGAAGGAACATTGAACTTAAAGTAGATGAATAACTCCTTAAATTGGTGTTCATAACAAATGCATTCTGCACCATAGCTATCTAGAAATATTTTTTTTAAACTGCATTCATGAAAACTGTAGTATATCCCTGAAGAGTAATGTTTGGTAGAATTTGCATTGTATCCCATCAGTATCCCTTTGTTTTTACAATTGCACTGCAGTGCTACTAAAAGCCTTGATACATCACACAAAAACAACTTTCACTTACATAGTGCCCTCCACGCAGGGTAGTGTCTCAGAGCGCTTAATAGTGGCGGAACCTGACTCCGAGCCGGGCGGTGGGAGGTGGGGTGAGCTGGAGGAGACCTTAAGCACAGTCGAAAAGGAAAGATTTCTAGAGAATTGCATGTAGAATGTTCTCTGCTAAAATGATTTATAGGAAATCAATTATGTTTTGTATTCTAATATTGTAGTTTTGTTGAGACCATTGACTACTGTGGCTTCCTTTTAGGAGTGGGGGTGGGGGTGCGAAACTAGAGCAAACTTGAACGGGAGGCTAATCTTTTGGTTCTGTTGTAACTCAAAGCCATTTCTCTTTCATTTCCTTTAATCTGCAATTGTGTCCGAAACATTGATTGTCCAGCTCCTTGGGACGTGCTCCCGACCTGAAAGGAGCTATACAAATGTAATTTTGTTGTTGTTATAGGCTGACTGTTCTCTTCACTTGGAATCAATTCTTTAAAGGCCTCCTAGTGGTCAAACATTTTGAGATGAGAGGCTAATCACTTTGAAAATGTGGTGAAGCAGTAAAGTATGTGCTGGGTGCTAGGATACACCGTATCCTTGTATGTTAGCCTGGCTAAAATTGGTAGCATTCCCGCCTCCGAGTCAGAAGGTTGTGGGTTCAAACTTAGCACACCCAGTGCTAAGTCTTGGAATTGACAACGATCTCCTTTCTGGAGCCCCTACAATTTGCTCCTTTCCTTGCCTCCTCCAATGTCTGCCTTAAGTCCTGCCTCTTTGAAGCGCTTTCAGACATCTTTCCTTGCTCACCCAACCCACCCAACCACCCCTTTTGACTCGCATCACACTCGGGTGTCCAGTGCCTTGCGATGACCTCCTAAAGTGAAACACTATAAAATGTAATTTATTTTTGTTGAAACTCAGGTTGAAATTGTCACTCCAATCCAGTGCTGGGGGTGTTAGAGGCGCTGTTCTTTAAAACAAATATGTTAAACTTGATATCTGGTCTTGATAACTTTAAGCAAATGTATTTAAATACCACTGTAATTTACAGTATATTCTGTGAAATGCTTTGAGATGTCTCGAAGACGTGATAAGGCGCTATATCAAATGCATGTATTATTATTACTTGGAACACTTGGAAATTTAGTGATTTCTATAATGAGTTTTGGAATTGTCGCACCTCAACTGGTGAACACACTAAGGAAACTGGAGCCCTCTGCTGGCTGTTTAAAAACATTTTGATTCTACTCAAAATGATCCAGAAGACTAACTAATTAATGCCTTTGTCATAATACTGCACAAATTTGAATCTTATAAAGGATTTGCTTTTATTTCCTTATCAAGCAGGTAGTTAAGTCGTATTATTGTTTCACAGGGAGTGAATGAGTTTCACTCTGTCCGTGCTCGAGTGGCTTTTAGATTCTCTGCCCGTTAACTTATCTTTTGAAATCGTAATCCTCTGTGTTCTTTTTTACCATGCCTCCTCCCACACTAAGCTGTGAAGTCCTATAGTTTAGTAGCTAGAGCATTCGCCTCACAAGCGAGAGGACCCGGGTTCGATTCCTGGCAGGGTGAAACATTGGCCAAGTCTCTTTACTCCACACACCTCTGTTTAACCTAACAGTAAGTAGGAAGCTGGTTGTTAATCGATTGTTGGATCACTTTCTGGGGGTAATAATTCCTTCAAATAAAATAATAATTAGGTCACTCAAAACAACAGTCGTGGGACACTGTTGTGTGCAATTGGCTGCCGCGTTTCGTCCACAAAATATACAGTCACTACCATATATTCTGTGAAGTGCTTTGAGACGTCTTGAAGACGTGATAAGGCGCTAAATAAAATGCAAGGATTTATTATTATTACTATACTTTTTAGCTGACTTGTTTTTTCTATATATTGATACATTAAAACACCTAACATAGATTAGATTTGTATAATAGCCACAATTGACTTTACAAAAAGATAAATGTAATACCCACATTGAGGCTGTGTGTGGTGTGTGTGTATGTATGTGTATGTTAAATGAAGAAGAGTCTTCTGGGTGACCTTTTACAATTGGCTGGGAAAATGCATTATCCACTCTGATTAAATCACTCACTATACTTGCTGAACCCAGGACGATGAAATCCAAGGATCATAGGGAAAGGGGATGAGTGGGATGAGCATGGCTAAGTACAGTAGACCAAGGGAATACAGTGAAATGGAGCAAATCTTTACCACAAGAGTAGGAACAAAATTGAGTGTTTCTGCCTCAATATTTCTTTGCATGTTTCCCAGTATAGCTTTAAAAATTGATAGAGATTGTGAAATGGGTTTGGAAGGTGAGGTTGTGATAGCTGGCATAGAGAATGAAAGTTTGAAGATGGCTTGTTACCCTCCCACGGAGAGTCAAGAAACTGGTTTGCAAAAGGACTGCCACATTTTTTTAAAATAAGCAAACACAATTGAGCAACTGAATACTTTTGATATCTTTGGTGCACCACACCCAGACAACAAGCTGAAATTATTACTTTGGAACCAATCCAACCTCTGTAGTTGCAGCTTAACTAAAGCAGAATGAGAGCTTATGAATATAGATATGAAAATTGGGAGAGGGAAAGTGAGGAGCCTTTTCAGATGTAATTGTTTTGTACAGAGTATTTCACATACTGGTAAATAGACTGTCAAGGGAGGATTCTGTCAGAAAATTCAAGAGGGAATTAATTATTTGATGAAGAAATTGAGAATGTAGGTTGTTTTTAAATTCTTGGACTAAGCTGGATGAACTGTAATGTGTTTTTGTTCTTTCTGTGCTTGTACTATGTTTGCCGATTTAGTTGGTTTCTTGAATTTGAGAACTCGATAGTTTTTGTGTGACATTTGATTGTAAATTTTAATCCACACAGTGAAGGCCAAATCAAACATATTTGATACGGAAGAGCAAAATTAACACCCAGATCAGTCAAACTGTGTTATTCACCTGCCTCAGTTTCCAGTGAATCCTCAGCCACCTTTCCTTATCCTACGGGAGCCATCACTGTCACTCTCGTGGACTTTAATTTTCCTTGTCTTCTCAAATGGCTGTTGGGTGGGATGCTACACCTTTGGTAGATTTGCTGGTGTATTCTTCCCATTTCATAACTGCTATTTTGAGGGGTGTATTTCATGTACATAATATGAATATACATACAATAGTTTCTCACCTAAAGCCCTGGATGAGATTTTTTTTATTGTAATGACTTTCTACTTTCTCCCCCCACCTCCCTCCCAACCCGCCCCCATCCACATTTGTAGAGTTAATTATAATAAAATAAATCTTCTACATGCTGCTATCTAAGGAAGGTGGGAGATGGATAGCATTTTCTGGTTCTGTATTTTGAGTCGTGATGTTTTTATTGAATTTTTTGTGCTATGGTTTTCAATACTTTTGTGTTTTATTGTGTTAATTGTTTTAAGATTTACTGTTTAGTTGAGCTAAACTTCTTTACAGAATATCATCCTTCATTGTTGCCTTATTTTTCAGAGACGAGGGGCAATATCTTACGACAGCTCAGATCAAGCTGCTTTGTACATTCGTATGTTAGGTGAGTAAACCTTATTATGTTCTATCAAAATAAGTTGAATGTTTTACCTTTAGAGTTACAAACTCCTGCTTTGTACCTAGAATCATTAAGTGAAATGTCTTGAAAAATGTTGAGATTAATTCCTATGCTTTATTTGTTCTGGATTAAGAATTTTCAGAAGAATTGAGGAAAATATCTTTCCGATAGAGCCAACTCATTTGGTTGGGTCGTAAGTCATGAATTGAAAGCTCACTAATAAGTATGAGAGCTACAGAATCGAAGCATCATTAGAAGAGATGAGTTCCAAAAGATCACCTAGAAGACTGATTGTATTAGATTTTCATATTAGAACCATCATTTTGCAAAATCTGAGGGACCTGGTGCATTTTATTATGTTAACATCAATATTAATAATCATTAATAAATCTTTACGTTTTGTACAGCGTCTTTCATGCTTTTTGAAAATTTCTCTTGCATTTTGTTGATCTCCCTGTGGACAATGTAGAACACATATAGGCTCTTTCAACCTATGTTTCCTCATGAAAACAGATGTCAGCAGTAATTCTGGCTAGGTTGAGGGGACTCCAAGTCACATTTTGGATGACATTTCGTCTCCTCTTTGTAGGTTTTCACCCTCGACTAGAGGGATTTACACCCTGCTTCAAGTAGACTGTAGATTGTTCCTGAACATAATAACACTTGAGCAGAATAAGAGAAATAATAAAATAGCAAGTACAAATCTAATTTTCTCAAAGGCACTTAAATTATAATAGCCACACATATTTGCCACACAGATGAGTTTTCCTTTGAAGATATTATCCCTTTTTTNAATTTAACAAAGTTTATTGTATCGAATATTGTTTACTCAGTTTACTTTTCCTACATTCCTGTATCCTGGAGCATTCAAGTACTTTCTCCAGTTATTCAGCAAATTCGCTTTATAATTGAGCACGTTAAAACAAGGTTCTACTGTAATATGCAATTTATATAAATTTATATAAAAAAGGGACAAAACTTAGCAACAATCATGCTAATGTCTTGGCATGATTATGTGCACCAACAACCCTTGGTTGACAAACTGAGATTAATGACCTTGAAATCGGTTCACATCTCTGTGCTGTATGCAAACCAAGAGACTCCATACAGCACAGTTTTCTCACTTATCAGCATGAATTCATTCACAAATGTTTACATCTAAGAGGAGTACTGAATTCTGAGAAGATCCAAATGTCCTCAGTTGTGGTTTATATGCTCACCACAAGCTTAGAGTTCATTTCTCTTCTGACTACAAAGTGAGCATTCACCATTTATTGGGTATGACCCTGCATAGCTTAATGTGCCTGATGCAATCATTCTGAAATGCTGTACGCTGTCCAGTGCTTTGGGACGTCCTCCTGACGTGAAAGGCGCTATACAACTGTAATCTTGTTGTTGTTTGTGTTTTAAATGTTGTATGTGAACATTAATTTTTTTTAAAAAGATACAACAGTACAGCTGTCAAAGTTATAACATAGGTTTCCAATGTGATGTAAAATAGGACCTGTTGGAAGGCATTTTTATCAACTGAATTTGGTTCACAAAGCAGTACTTTTTAATCGCTGAAACAATTGAGTATAAGTCGCACCTTAATGCAACCTCTATTCTCCCCCCACACTTCCCCAAAGAAAAACCCTGGTGTTTAAACTTCTGCACACTTTGCCTCATTCAAACCAATTCATTTAAAAAAAATCTTTTTGCGCTGCATTTGGACTAAATGATTGATTCGTAAAAGTTCTCTGAGGTACTAATAGGAAGAGACAATTTGTGAATTGAGGCTATGTACAGGAACACCATGTTCAGTTTTGGCTTGATTCTGTTGGGAAGAGTAAACTAGTTAAGCATTTATATAAACCCTATATATCACCTCCAGTTTTCTTCCTTTACAGTATAATCTGAAGCGTTTTGATACGCCTCGAATATGTGACAAGGCTCTATATCAAACGCAAGGATTATTGTTATTATTTTTTATTCCATCCTCCAATATGTTGTTACTGGATGCAACTTCCAGGTGGTGGCAGACTCCCCAACTCACTCGTTAAATTATTTTAACTCTTTCCCCACCCCTGTTCTTGCTCTTTTCTAGGAGATGTACGAGTGAGGAGTCGAGCATGTTTTGAACCAGAAAGAAGAGGCTCTCATCTTTACATTGACTTCCATCTTTTGCACTGTACGTACTTTATTTAATCATTATTTCTGTGACGTTGGGTGAAAAGTGTTAACAATTCCCAGGAAGGGATTTATGCTTGAATAATTCTGCCTGACTGTGTAACATTTTCCTCCTTAGTTCAGAACTTTAACATTGATAGAAAAGGAATGCAGCAAAGAGCTATACAAGGCATGTCAAAGAACCACACCAGACTGATAACGTCAGACTTCATCAGGGTCTTGAATACCACAGCAATGTTGAAGCATGGCTAATGTTGAAACCTTTGTTATCTCGTCTTTGAAACAGTTCACTGACTATCCAGTTAATACATATGCTTAACTTGCTTGACCAAATTCAGTGGATCAATAAACTGGAGTGTGTTCAAATGTAATTTGCATTTATATAGCGTCTAACGCATCCAGTAGACGCCTCAAAACACTTCACACAGCTGATGGGGTGGGGGCGGTGTGGGTTGGGTGTTGGGAAGATAGGTGGCTAAAAGCACAGTCACAAAGACTATTTGTAAAGTGGGTTTTGAAGAGGGAACCGAAGCGAGTGGGACTCCGGGATGGAATTGTCAGTTTGGGAATAAAGGAGGCTGCCCTGGCTACTCGTTCCATCAGTGGAACGAGTAGCCAGGGCAAAAGCTGAGGTTGAGTGGGGTGAAACAGTTAAGGATCAAGACCTCATAAATCAGGAGACCAATAAACTTGTTTATCATCAAAACGTTGATATATATATTTTATTGACTTGGAACAACTGGTAAAATGTTAATTTTCCTGATATTGATAAATTGAGTTTATCAGTGGTGGGAAAATCATACAGGCACTGCCTTTTTTGGAACATTTTTTTCTGCCATGTTTAATGACCCAGAAAATGAACACATTCTTAAGTTGCTTAAACCATTGTGCTGTGTGATGATATTCCTTATTTAACTGGGTGATGGACAAGAATACATTGCTTGTTGTACAAGTGCTATGAGGTTGCAATCTGTTGAGATTAACAGAAAAGCATCAGGTATAATTTGCTTTACACAAGCCCTTTATTTTGGGGTTTCACAAAGTTTCCCGGGTGTGTGGATGTATCACACCATTTCTAGCCAAACTCCACTGCTTCCCATCACCGAATGGGTCGATTTCAAGATCCTCACACTCGTTTTCAAATCTCTTCATGCCCTGGCACCTCCCTACCTCCTCCACCCACTTACCCTCCAACCCACAACTTGCTGCCTCTGCTCGACTGGCTCCGGCCTCCTGCATGTCCCCCATGCCATATCCATTCCACTGTTGGTGGCCGCACTTTCAGTCACTACGCCTCAAAACTCTGGAACACTCTTTCTCTGTCCCTCTGCCTTGCCCTTTCCTTCACCATTTTCAAGTTGTGACTGAAGACCTTCCTATTCGACCGTGCCTACGGTCACCTCCCCCTGGTTCAAAGTCGTGGTCTGCCACTGTCAAACGCTTTGGGACACTACCCTGCATGAGGGACGCTAAATAAATGCAAGTTATTGTTGTCTCTTTCTTTTCCCTTTATCCCCCTCCCTCCATGCCTAATACCAGGCATTACATCTACCTTGTGTGTTATTTGGCTTTATTGGTATGACATTGCCATGGTGTATACCGCTCAGGTATCATCTCTCTCCACAGTCAGACTAATACCAGCTGCCAGGTTGCAATAAGTGGAATCAAGATGCATTGCTCAGTTTAATCAAGTGCAAGTTTCTCTCTCCAAAGACATCACAGTGAAACCTCTAAGCTTTTTGAAGCGCAAGGTGTAGTGCACTATTTTGTGACATGTCCCCCAATATGTGTTCCTGTTTAGAAAATCTATCCGTGGGGCTTTGAGTGGGGAGATTTTGCTCTGTATTATTACAATAATACTTACCTTTAATATATTAAGGCAATAATTTCATTTCCGGAGGATGTTGTTCTCTTTTTGAAAAGTGCAATGAGATCATTAATGTCCACCTCAGTTTAATATCTTATCCAAAGAACTACACCTCTAACATTGCAGCAACTCCCAGCACTGCATTTGTGTCAGCCTAGACTTCTAGTTCATACCAATATGGGATGCATATTGATACCAATATGGGATGCAACTCAAGACGACCTACATTTATGTTCCCATGAGATGGTCCCATTACTCACATTAGAAGGAATTCTAATTACAAGAGCAATACATTGCACTTCTAAGATCTACTATCTCCTCAAAAATACTAAACAGCCAGTATATCTTATTTTTTTCTTGATGACTTCCTTTCCAGAATCTCAAACCTTCAAATTCTACTTTTTGTGTAACTTGTTTTCTACTTAAATTCAGTCTTCAGTCAAGGTGGTCATCCAAATAGCAATGCTAACGGCACAAGGTCACTTTGAGCACATTTTGTATTGTAGACAGCTGTGTGCACGTATAGTGAAATTTGCTATTGTGCCTTGCTATCTGGCTGGGAGTTTATAGATCCAAACAACAGCATTATAAATGTTACAAATGGCCTGGGTTACTTAGCAGTTAAGATGAGGAATAAGGATGGGGGAGAAGGAATGATTTCTATCTGTGACAAAGTAAAAGGTAGTTGCCAGCTTGAAAAGGTCTCATAAATGTGATTATACCACATATTTTAAGGAAAAGAGCTGCTGTTTTATTTTGTTAAAGTCACAATAATGTGGCGGTTTTCACAAGTCCACAGCAATGATGTCATTCTTTATTACTCAGCCTTTGTTGATCTGCCTCTTCATGTTGATTGCTGTTTCTGGTGTCTTTTCACCCAATGAGAAATGTGAATACTGTAACCTGAACATGATTATGGGTTAGCAAGGCACTTGTGATGCCACTAGACTATTCGCATTGCTAACTGTCAGGGGCACTGCAGTAAAATTATAGTACAGAGATTGTTGTGTGTGTGCATACGGAGATATTGGTGTATTCTGTGATAGCTGTTTATAATCCCCACGACACTCTAGAATTTCCAGATCAAAGATCCATGGACGATGTCCAATTTAGTTTTTTTTAAGCATAAGGAATACAGTCAAACTGCATGTGATCAGCCAGAGATGCTCTGACTTGAAAGCAATCTAGACCATGTAATTGATCCTCTCACAGTGAAACAAAATTAGTGCTTCTCCACACGTCTCTCAATCAAGTGTGCTAACCCACAGTGAGAAAATAACTGATTGTTTTTATATAAGCCGATTTGAATGGATGTCTTAAGGTTGTGTGCGTTAAGGTTTAGACTAACAGCTATTAATATTTGGAGATACACAAAAGTAGGCTGAATAGGCTCCTACTTTGCCACACATTCTTATGGTTCTATTTCTATATGTTTTTTGCTTTCCCAGTACCACCAGAATCAGAAGGAACCACTTCAGTAAGGAAGATCAAAAGACTGTTGAGTTTTCAACGATATTTTCACACCCAACGTTTCTGCCGTGTCATTTCTTCTCAGAATTTTCTTTCCATCATCGACATTGACTGCAGTGGCCAAGCCAAGGTGCATTTTTAAAGTGGAAATGTTTAGTATTTAGCCATTAATCAGCATGGTTCCTGTTGTACTGCTATTATATTAAACTCACTGACTCACTATGTTCATTCATTTAAAGATTTTTGGACATGGTGATGCTCATAATCTGGTGTTTACAGCCATGCAACCAAATTCAATCATTGTTTACATATTTGTTTACATATTGGGTACTGACAAAACACACTACCCTAATTCTATAGCATTTCCTCCTTGTGGTCTTCATGGGGCCATTACCGAATAAATGTTCATCATAGAATTCATGATTAGCTATTCTAATTGATAAGTATTTAACGTGGGATGGATGGTATTGTAAGAAATTAGGAATTCCTTACTAAGGTAGTATGCTTGGGTGCTTTGAGAATTCCCCCTCTGCCATCATTTAGGTTTATTTGGCTCTTCTCCAACCAGACATCAGTGACCAGATATTCAAATCCAAAGCATAAGCAGTCTACAAAGCACCCACCTGACAACTTTTTATTTTGAAAGGACTCTTGCAATGTTTCCTGCTTGTCCCATCTCCTAGAGATAAATGAACTCATGGCACAAACTGCAATACATGCTTACTTGTGGGAAGGGAGACATGATGACCCTGATACCATGAGGTCATTGATGTTAAAATATATTAGCTGTAATTATCTCTGTTACCCGTGTTCAGTCTCCTTTGCCTGTGTCTAGCCATTGGCTTGTCGAGAATACTATAGATTCAAAGAATAAAAGTCTTATCAGATACCAGTGAAAAGTTAGAATAGAAGGTTACTTGGTAAGTAAAGGCATGAAGAGTTAGTGAAAAGCCTGAGAAATGGAATTAAAGAGTTGCCAAAAACATAATGGTGGAGCAGGCTTTATGGGTTGAATAGGCTTTTACTGTTTCTGTCTGAACGAGTGTGCAAAGAGGATTTTTTTTTCGAACCCTACTAATATTTTGTGGTTTCAGTGTATGCTAGAAAAAGTTGGAACTTGGAAATTTGACATCTTTCGTTTTCACCAAATGACAAATGGTAAGTTTGTTATGTTTGCCATTTGTTTCATTGTAATGTTCTAGTAAAGTTGCTGATTAATTTATTAGTTAAGCAAACAATTTTTGTACTAAGTGTTGTTTTAAGAAAGTAAAGTTGTAATCAAATTAGTTTTTTTTCTAATATAAGATGATTTATTTAGTTTCTGGGAGAACAGTTGGTGAAATTTCTTGCTTCTTCTCCCACATTTTGTTCCAAAGGCATAGATTTTNGTAAAATGAAAGGTGCAATGTATTGTTTTCTACCCAAGTCTAAGTACTCCCCATTATTTGTATAATGAACAAGTTTTACAACTTTCAAAACAATTAAAACCTTATTTATTTGTAATATCAAAAAGTATATTTAGAGCAATATTATAAAACCAATACTTGTGGTATGTTTTGCTAGAATGCCTTGTAGTGATATTCAAAATGTAAAACTATTTGAAAGTTTGTTGATGAAGTTCTGCACCTGTCAGAAACCTGGCTCTAAATATACAACAAGAAAAATAATGTGATTCATTACAAATTACACACTTGTGTGTGTGCTTTTTTTCTCCTTCCAGGAAACAGTTTAGTTGCTTTGACCTTCTATTTGTTTAAGTTGCATGGCCTCATTGAATATTTTCACTTGGATGTGGTAAAACTACGGAGGTTTTTAGGTAAGTGGTATTCTTAATAATAAAATGCAAGTAATACTAAACAATATTATGTTATTTCTAATGCATGTGAAATAGTTTGTTACCATCGTATTGTATTAATCAATGCTAAGGCGTTCATTGCATAGTTTACTTTTCTTTCCTGTGGCTCTAGATTTTAACTAACTTTAAAACCAGGGAAACTTATCAAATTTATTTTATGGGAGCTTATTTAATCATTCAAGATAAATCAATAGCTACAGGTACAATTCTGAAATAAATTTGGAGTCCTGTAGCTCATGGTTAGAGCACTCGCTTTGCAAGTGAGAGACCTGAGTTCAATTCCAGGCAGGGCGAAACCTTGGGCAAGTTTCCTTACTCCACACGCCTAATAATAATCCCTCCAAAACCAAAAACAATAATAAATTGGTCATTTTCAATCTACGACTGTTTGTGGGACATTGCTGTGCGCAATTGGCTGCCGTGTTCGCCCACAAATATACAGTCAATTCACTTTACAGTGTGTTCTGTGAAGCGCTTTGGGACGTCCTCCAAATGCTATACCAAATGCAAGGATTATTATTATTATAAAATTATAAGCTTTGTCTTTCAAGAAAACTCTCTTACATTACTTTAATTATAATTGATTCAAATTATACATAGTATTTTTTTTTCCCTGTGCAGTTATGGTTCAAGAAGACTACCATCAAAACAACCCTTATCATAATGAAGTGCATGCTGCTGATGTAACTCAGGCCATGCACTGTTACTTAATGGAACCTGAGGTAAAGAGTTGTTCTTCAATTGTGCATTTGTGCCTCCGTGTAAAGTAATGAAAATGCAATGAGTTGAGTATCAGTTGTTAGGAGAGGTAGAGGTAGTGCAGAAAACAAGTGATGGGTCAATGCAAGTGAATAAGTGGGGTAAATGAGCATTACAATTACAGGATTTTTTAAAAATTCGGCTCTTCCTATAAGATTGTCTATAATGCCTTATTTTAATGTAAAATTAGAGCATATTGCATGCTTTAGTCTTTTTTTCTCTCTCTTCTATCCCTCCACCCTCCCCCCAGAAAACCTTGATGCTTTAGCAACTTATTCTGGCTTGAGAAACATGGAGAATACCGGTTTAATTTCCATTCAGATATCAAAAGCATCCTGTGTAATGTTCAGTCAGTATCTAATAGTACCCAGTTGTGCATGCTGCTACTGATTTTTTTTTGACCGACTGTTTTCATTATGCAATGTACAATCCCAGTCAAGCCACTGACTTGTTGCACTTGGCTACAGAATCCAGGAAGTGAGGTTGGTGTCAACCCGATGACCTGGAATTCAGCCATGTTTATTATTAAAGCTGGTGCCTAATTCCACATGCCAAAGCCAAAGGCAGTGCATGCATTGTAAGCAAACCAGAGTTGTAAGGGGGGTGTTATAACTGGATTTTACTGTATCGAGTAAGATTTTCTCTTGGAGAGCTAGAATAACTACCAGAATTATCCTTTTTAAGTTAGTGTAGTAAGTGATATTTAAAAAGAAGAGGCTGCAGATATAGTGGGAGAGAGAGAATTGGTTTGTTAGGCTGGAGAGAATTAAAAGCCAAATTATCCAAGCCATATAGAAGGAATCTAATGTTTTAAACCATGTTACTCCCTTTAGTTCTTTAGAAACATATTACTTCAGAATCTTTAAGCTTTAGAAACTTATTGCACGTATTTGGAAATAACATCAGTTTATACATTTGCTTCTAATGGCAAAGTGTTGCTAGTTGCTTATGTTGGATACCCATAAAACCTGTTTCCATTTTCAAACCTACTTTTGTGTGAATGGATAATCACCTTGCTCTTTTCTTGAAGTTTGCCAAGTCTCTTTCCCCATGGGACATTCTGATAAGTTTGCTGGCAGCTGCCACACATGATGTGGATCACCCAGGTGTTAACCAACCTTTCTTAATCAAAACCAGACACTACTTAGCATGTTTATATAAGGTAAGTTTTGATCGCATTTCAAACTGTTAAGGAAGCTAATGTTGCATGTTTTGCCTTAAAAGAAAGACGAAAGTTTACAACTATTGGAAAACTTTATTATAAGGCAGTTAGCTGGGTCCTATTCCCATTAGCTGCATTATAAGCAAGATGCCATATCATGCTTTTCATGTTTAGAAAACATCTCAAAAGTGCTAACAGAAGCTAAATGGGAATAATAATCCTTGCGTTTGATATAGCGCCTTATCGCATCTTCGAGATGTCACAATGCACTTCACAGAATATACTGTAAAGTGAATAGACTATATTTTATGGGCGAAACTTGGCAGCCAATTGTGCACAGCAGTGTCCCTCAAACAGTCATTCATTCCTCCTCCCACTGATCTGCCTCCAATTCTTGCCGGGGTGCCTGGCCTGTCATCAGCCATGCCCTGGAGTTCTGCAGATTTGTCTGGCTCGAGAACTGGACGAGACGGCAGCAGAGGATTGATTCAATTCCCACATTCCATTGTGACGCATGCCACCTTGGAGCCTGCTCTGCTTACCCTCCTCCCCCAATTCCCCCAACAATCTGCTAATGAATGGATATAGTCTAATTACAAGAGCAGACTATTGGTCCATTTAACTGACCTATTCAGGTTTCCAGAAAGTGTATATTGTGTATCTACCTCTAACTATAATTGAATCCTTTTAATTGATAGGAGCTTGTCAAGTTCCTTTTGAAAGTTCTACAGGATCTAGTTCCACATTCCTTTCGTCCTTCAAGTAAAATAATTCTCTTGCGTTTCCATCTTTTTTAAAAAAAAGTTTCTCATGAAAATTACTTTAAACTCTTTTCATTAAAAGGTGAGGATTTGATTGTCTACCTGGAGAGTTACTGTTACTTATAAAAGGGCCACTATTTAGGATTTTAAGAATAGGTTTGATCAGATTTATCATAATGTAATGCTTGAAAATTTGCACTTGATGCTTGCTCTACATTCTGTTTTCCTACAAGTGGAACTTGAAATCTGTTTATTTCTTGATTGAGATATTTTCTCAGCCTTGACAAGTTTATCCCAGTTGTTGCATTTTCAATTATGGGTTTATAAGTGACTTTCCACAGAATATCTCAAAGCAGGTTCACTCTGCAACCCCAACCTAGGCTCTTTCCAGGTGTGAATATATAAAACCATATGCAAGAATGATTATTATTATTATAGTGTGCATCAAGAAAGACTGAAAATTGTTAATATTTTTGTTCTCTGGAGGAGGGATGATTGAGAGTGAACCTGATGGAGGTATTTAAAAAATACATAAATAACCTGTTGGTGACTCCAAAACACAAGGGCATAAATATACGATAGCGGCTAGCAAATCTAAAAGAGTTTAGGAGGACCTTCTTTACACAGAAGGTGGTGAGAATATGGAACTCACTGCTGGGAGCTATGGTAAAACAGCGTCAGTGTATTTAAGAGGAAATATGTGGAGAAGGGATTACAAAGGGGGGGTGGCGAGGGCAATACTCCTGTGGAGTATAAACACCAACACAGACAAGCCAGGGTGAAGGGTCTGTTTCGATGCTGTACAGTCTATAATTCTATGTCATTTATTTCTATCTCCTCTACAGCTGACTTGCTTACTCATGATATTAGTTACAGCTGAAATGGGAATCTCGTCAGTTGGAAAATCTTGCCCACAAAGTTGAATTCTGTCACTAGCTATTTGATGGTTCCCCAACAATATATTGGTTCTTATTTGTGATGCTTGCAAACTAGATTGGTTGCGTTAATTGCAATTACTGGTTTGCAATATTTGCGAATTGCAAGTCTGAAAAAATGGCCATCAAGCAAAACTGTTTTAAATTGCATCGTTGAAATAAGCAATCCTAATAGATTAAAGTGCATTAGAAAATTAATTTGCCTTGCAAGAAGACCAAAAGAAAATCAATTGTAAACGTTTTACTGTTTATAAATGGGCCTTTTGTTCTGGAATCAATTGTAGATAATGTCGCTGTAATGGGTCAGTAGTTTTATTGAGCGCAACATTGTTTATGGAAACTAAAAAGGAACAGCGTTTATTTTCTCGTGACACAGTTAATGTGTTACACTGGGATTTCATGGATGAAAATTGTTCAGACGTCTGACACAGGTTCAGCCTTCTACTCTGTTGTGTTAATGTTTCACTGAGCTTTGTTTTTATAATACTTGATTCTGACCAGGGCTCTTGTTGCCCGGTCATTGATTTTAAGGAATGAATTCTTGTGCAACAAATCATTTGGAAAACTATTCCACACTGTTGGTTTCTAAAAACCTCATTACAATAAAGTGCTTGACTCCATTTTCTACATGAAGTTTTCTAACTGACAAAACTTAAACTCTTGCAAGACTGTACTCCGGGCAGATTTTAGTTGTAGTAAAATGCATTTGCGGAGCAGTGTTGCATTGGAATGAGGCTTTGCTTACTCAGGTCTGAAGGCTGAATAGAGTTCAATTTATTATAATGTGAAAAAGTCTTAACGCACTTGTATAAACAAAAAATCGGGGATTATGATTATTTGTTTTGCCATCCAAGATAATTGCAGGCTATTCAACTTTTATGCTTCATTTGCAGCAGAGAGCCCAATACCTGCACTAATTGGGCAAGTCTCAATATGGATATGAAAGTGATGGTGTGTCTGTGTCTCTCTAATCTTGTTACTTGCCTGGATCAATCTCTGTACCTCACATTGCTAGTTAATACTTGGGCCTATTAAAATAATCACTGATCACTGTCTCTCTAAATGCATATTGACAACATACCTAGTAGGAATTTGCTGCCAACCTTGCGATATAACTGAGGGTTCAGATTGTTTGAAATGTACTGGAACTGTGTTTCACATCCACCTGTTTTCAATAACATTGAAAGCAAATGGACACATACCAAGCTATCCATAAGGAACATGGAAATCTTGGTAATGGTGGTGGGGTAGGTGGAATCGATGGCCATTTAGAAGCAATTGGGAAGTACAAATGCCTCTTTTGGCTCTATATCACAGTCATGCTAGGAGTGAGGCAGCTTTGCTCCTCAAAGTATAAATGTGAAATTGATGCTGTTTGTACCATCCATGATTAAAATGCTGTTTGGTGCTGTTTTCATGGAACTGCTAATCTTTTCCTTCTCTATTTACAGAATACCTCAGTGCTAGAAAACCACCATTGGAGGTCAGCAGTGTGCATGCTTCAAGAAACTCAGTTATTTTCCCATCTTCCAGTTGAAGACAAGTAAGTATTATCATACACACCACATTGTTTTCATATCCACAATGGCCAATTTGTGTGATTTTTTTATGTCAATCCTTTGCTTTTACTGATGTCAATAATTTTAAATGTTAATTTGGGGATTCGTCCAATCTTTTGCAGCGTTTGGGACTGCTTGGTCTCACGGCTCTGCCCACATTTTGGTGTGAAAGCATTTTGGGAATATTTGGGTCAGTTCTCTGGTTCGACCCAGATGAGAGCAACTCTGCATATGTGTTTCTTTGAAATGTTGAGGAAGGCAGTTTTACTGGGAATGAGTTTCAGTACAGAGCAAAGCTTCCATAAGCAACTGAGCATTTACATGTACAAGTTCTAGACCTCCTCCTAGTAGTTATGTGGAGGATTTTGAATCTATAGGAAAAGTAATAAAAATAATAATCCTTGAATTTGATATAGCGCCTTTCACGTCAGGAAGACTTCTCAAAGTGCTTTACAGGATATACTGTAAAGTGTGGTGACTGTTTTGTAGGTGAATGAGGCAGCCAATTTGTGCACAGTAATGTCCCCAAAACATCCATGAAGTGAACAACTAGTTCTATTATGAGAGTTTGTTGGGATACTGGGAGAAACTTCCCTCTGTTTTCAAATAGTGCTATGGGATCTTGAACAAGCAAATGGGATCTGGGTTTAACACCTAACCGGAAGGATTGCACCTCCAACAATGTAGCACGCACCCCCAGCACTGCACTGGAGTATCATCTTAAACAATATGGGTACAAGGTCCTTGATATAGCACCTCATCATGTCTTGAGATGTTTCAAAGCACTTCACAGAATATACCGTGAAATGGGGAGTGACTATATTTTGTGGGCGAAATGCGGCAACAAATTGCACACAGCAGTGTCCCACAAACAGTCGTCGATTGAATTAATCCACTTTGAATCTGAGGCAAAAGTGCCACCAAGTGAGCCAGATTGACACAATTTAAAGTAATCTAGCAATTAAGTATAAATGTCTTTCTAACTTTGCTGAACAGTTATTTCAAGTATTTACACATTTTATATATTTTCAAAAGCTTTCTAATAGAACGCCAGTTGGGCTCCCTAATTCTTGCCACAGACATAAACCGCCAGATTGAGTTTTTAACAAAGTTTCGAATTCACTTGGATGGGGAAGGAGTAACGTTGGTTGATGCTGGCCATCGACATTTCATGCTGCAGGTAATCTTATTTTCAACTAATACGTTGAATTGAAGTTCTGTGATTGCAATATTGAGGAGTAGACCTGTATTTTTTTTGGACGTTTGTGTTTGAAAGCACAAGGGGAACATTTTGATGAAATGTTAAGTCTAGCTGGAAGCCCTGAGAAAATAAATCAAAAGAGTGGAATGGAAAAAAAAACGAGTGTTTTGTTGCTAAATCAGCTGCTAGCTATAAATGATGAATGGTGTAATGGAGACAACTTTACAGATTTGAACTTGCCATTGCTGCTACCAATCATGTAAGCGCCGATAATGACTCGATCTATAATGGAACCATAAAATTCCATATAGCACTAACTTTCACCATAGGCTTAGATGATTGAATATTTCATGTGACACAATGGTTCCTGTGCTGCTAAGGTAAGATTATTTGTACCATACAGTTCGCTGTTGAACAGTGGGAATAAGTTTTGCTTGGGATACTATTGGAATGCATTTATAAAAGTCTTTAAATGGGTTGTAGCTTCCTTTATTGCCAAGTGCGTAAAGCTTCTGTATGGTGTAACACTAAACTACACAGGCGGGTAGGTTGCAAATCTGAATATTGTTCAGTGCTGAGTAAAGTGATTTCAGCACTTTCAGTGATTTCAGCTGAGTAAAGTGATTTCAGATTTTATTAGGGTGCCACAACTTGCTTAATTGCTCCTGGGTTAGGGAAAACAAAAATACCAAGTTTCCAATTACTGTATGGAGTATATCATCAAAGTACCATGTGTGTACTCTAGGTGAAGTCATGATTGGGGTCGTGAAACTGAATTCCAGTAAGAATTGGTGATTTAGAAAGGCAGCCTAGAACACAGAATTGTGTCTTGTAAACTAAACTAGCTTTGCTTCAATTGCAGATAGCTTTGAAATGTGCAGATATTTGTAACCCATGCCGGGCTTGGGAACTGAGTAAGCAATGGGGTGAAAGAGTCTCTGAAGAATTCTTCCATCAAGGTACGTTCAGTAAAATTTGAGTCCAGTTGCACCTTATTTTCTTCAAGAAACTGAAATAGTTAAAACCTGACTATGTAAGAGTTTTTTTTCCCTGCGTCAGGCAAAATGTTACTTTGCTGTACCAGCTTCTCCATTAACAATAAAGTAAATGGGCTGATGCATATTCAAAGTGTTAGCTTGTGCTTCTGTCAGCTGAGTAGATGTCACTCTACAGGACTGAATATTACCTTCCCCTGGCCTCTTTCAATAAGGGAAAATGGCGACCTTAAAGCAGATTGGTAATCATGCAACACAGTTCTAGTGTTCAATAAACAAAGCCACAAAAGGTGTTGCTTTTAAACCACTGTAACATGCTCAATATAAAACTGGTGTTTTCTGTATCCAGCATTGCAGAAATGCATCTCGATGGAGGGAACGTGGTTTTAAAAACTAGTGCTAAATTTTGAAACCTACTATATTTTTGCTCCAAAATCTGGATTGTATTGAAGCTCTATATCCCCTGAATACTACTCAGCATCAACATTAATATATCCAGGATGTGCTTTGATGACTTGTTAAAAGAAAATGTATCACGTGATAGTATTGAAAATAATGTGGGTCAATTTCTGCACCACTACGGGGGAGAATTTCTTTGGGCTATAGGTTTCTGGTATAAAAAACTGCGATCCGTGCTTGGAATGTAGCTTCTTTCATTATTTTTCCCTCATTTGGAGAAATGAGCACCAAAAGCCATCCACGTGTCACCTTAAAGCAGCTGTTTACAGGAAACGTTCAGTGTAACAATAGGAAAGTTTTGAAAATCATTATCTTTGCACAATCTAGGCAAAAGCAAAATTCGCTCTGGAACATCTTTATTTTGCATTTTATTATATGTTTTAATGTTACAGGATTGGATAATTTAATGCATTATTATGCTTTTCATAAAAAGTATGTTTTGCATGAATTACCAACCACTGGTAAAATATTGCTATTTATGGAGCTCAGTTTGGGGAATACGATAGAATTTCTCCTTTTAGGAAAAGTTTAATATTGTATGGATGACTTTCCGCAGAAGGTCTATAACTGTTTTGTCTGTTCAGGGGATGTTGAAATGCTGCACAAACTGGATGTAAGTCAACTGTGCGATCGCCGTATAGCAACGGTAGCCAAAATTCAAGTTGGTGAGTGTTTTCTGTTTCATCGAAATGCAAGCCCCGCTGTAATTGTTTGTGTCACCGTTGGTGATGAGGAAGGCTCATGTGGCAAATCTCTGAAGGTGGACCCCTGTGGCAGCTAAACTCAGAAGGAAAGTTTAAGATGAGGCTTTTGAACTGCAAGATTTGCTAATATCTCAGTGAAGTCAAATTTCAAAGTCCGAAGAGAATGGAGAAGAAAAAAATAATGGGGTGGTGGGGAGTGGGTGGGGGAGGAAGGAATGGCAAGCAAATGTCCAGATTTTTTATTCTTTTAGATTTTAGTATATCCAATTTTTTTTCAAATTTCACCTCGCAGAAGGAAGCTATTTGACCCAATTCAGTTTGCCATAATCGTAGACGATTTAGGGTAAAAAAAAAGATTAGTTCCAAGAAATCGTTTTATGTACTGTATTTAGTTCCTTTTGTTTTACTAACCAAATGGAGAGGTGAACCTGTGGTGTTGTCCATGGCATTTTTTTGTATAAAATGACAACTTGATTTATGTTCCTTTCCAACTTTAACATTGACATGCAAATTTGGAATTTTGTAAAATTGAAGTTAATATTGTACAAAATATAATTTAGGACATGAGCGATGATGTTTTATGATGTGTTTGGTAAAATGTGATCTATAATGTATTTAGAACAATTTAAAACTTAACTAAATTTGTTTCATTTTGTCTGTTCAACAGATTTCATAACGTATGTAGTGGAGCCTCTTTTTGCAGAGTGGTCAAGATTTTCCAACACCATTCTGTCACAGACTATGCTTGGACACCTGAGGTTGAATAAAGCTACCTGGAAGGAAATACTGCATCCACAGGCCACCGGTGGAAATGTCACAGATGCTACTTACGGAAAAACAAATTAAGACTTATTACCTCAGGAAAGCCAAGAATTTTTATTCTAACCCGACACCCCAATCCACATTCTGCTGGAAATGGACAATGACTTTCAGTTTAAAAGCAGATGAGGATGAATCTTTTTAGATTAAGGGGGTCGAGATTATTTGCAGGCTCAAACTGCCACGGTTGCATGTGTGATCATGCCAACATTAACGTAACTCCATGCTTTCTTCAAAGCATCATATTGCTTCTTTGCCCCTTACCAGGCCTGAACATAAAGCAATATACAAATACCTCAACTGGCTTTTGTGAGACATTGATCACGTAAACTGCAGTGGTGACCAAGCTGAAGAGAATGGGGGGGAGAAGGGAAGGTGACAATATCCCAGAAAAGTTCCAACTACCCTTTTTAATGATTAGTTTGAATGCTGTAATGCAGACTGATACAATTTCTGCACTTAAGGTTCTCTGTGGTCTTATCAGAAGGCTGAAGCATGAAGATACTGAAAAATATTTTGATGCTGGTGCAAGAAGAGTTTTTATTCTCTTCCCACAATTTTGGAGCAACTGAACGCATGCAAAGAAGCCAGTCCTTTTTCTGCCTCAGAGATTTGTTTACAATGCTGTATTTTTGATACCTTTAGTTCTAGTGGTTCTTGCCTTGAAGCATAGTTGAAAAGCAACCACTAATTTGGGATATGCTGTTTGGTAAGAATGTAGAACAAAAACAATGCTGCAGCTCATTTTTAATCCTTGGGACTCCATTTCAGTTTCCATACAAGCCTATCATCTGCCATGGTGTGTGTTCCTTTAGTACACTGTGAATCCAGCCTTCATCTCAGACAATAACCAAGCTTCACTTCAGCAAAGTGTGGGAACATAGTGCTATTGGCTTTTGCCTTTTCTTTGGGGAGAATCAAAGAAAAAAAAAGTTATAAAAACAGATTAGTTAGTGAAGATGATGCATGTTGTTTTCATTCATTCAGAAATGACCTGCACTTATATTGATGTTGGCAGTAGTTCAATATAAATCAGCTAAAGATATTTTCCTGCATTTCTGGAAAAAGTGATTAGAGAAAGTGATAAGTGTCTGCATACCAGGACACACAGTGCCACTTTCATCATCCTATTTTCTTCAGAATGAAGAACATATCTTAATGAGCAGCCAGATTGAAAACACAAACTGTAAACTAGTTACTACAGATGCCTTAAAACTATGCACAAAGCTAAGTGACCAAATCTGTTTTTATTCGGAAAAAAAGTGCATTGTTCCCTTATCCTTTTGCTAGTGAAATTGTACTGCACTGTGGGCCTTGTTTGATGTGAAAAGATGAATTCTTTGTAGTATATTTTAAACTGAAAGCATTCCATTTTGTATTTTGTTTTAAATAGGTTTTGATCATGTACAGTAAGCACACCTGTATTCTGGGTTTGGCTTTTTTCAGTAAAACAAATTGGTGCTTTCTCTTTTTTTAAATTAATTTGTATTTCAAGACTGTTTCAAAAGAATTCTGTTTACAATTTACTGTAACAGCCATTTCTAGGAGATGAAGGCTTCAATGTAAAGGCTTAGGAACATTACCAGGTTATTGGCAGAATTGCCATAATCCATATTTTGATATTTGCCTGTTGCCGTTCAAAGTTTTGATGAATAAAAGAACTTGACATACATTTTGAATGACCCATTTGATCTGTAGAACTTTAACACACTTTGAAATTCAATGTTTTGCTGCACAGCTTGTTCAAATAATTGTGAAGTATCAGAAGTATTTTAAGGGTATTGCCTAAGGCTGGGAGCTGTTGTAAATTTCACGTTTTAAAATATCAACTTCTGTTCTTTGCCCCCCAGTTGTTTGTTTTATATTAACCTTGTCCATTTTACTATATATATGTGGCTGCCAGATTTGTCCATCTGAATCTCACATTGGTAACAGTTGGGCTCCAAATCAATAGCCTAACATTTCAGGCAATCAAAACTAATTCAAACTTTGAGGTTTGGCCTTGTTCCTTTAAAATAATCACATGAAGCCCAAGGCAATTTGTGACTTGTATTCAAGGTGCAGGATGAGTTCTGGGAAAATGAAGCTAGTTGTGGTACTTATTTGAGGCCGCCAGTGTTGTGAGCACTCCTAGCTCTGTTGTATCAGGTCGAGCAAAGCACCCTCTGCTATTCCTGATCTTTAGAACAAATTTCTCCCCACTTCCTGTGCCAACCGTCCACTGCCCTCTCATGCATATATCAGTTGCATTTGTTAACATTATGAACGAGATTGACACTGCAGACATTCCAAATTGCTCAGACATGACTCTCCCCATATATAAGAGCTAGACTTGAATTACATTAATGTTGTGGAGTGCAAGTCAACCTAACCCAGTGTCTTTTGCTCCTTTTCGGGGGTGGGGGGGGGGGGGAGAAGAGGGACAGAAAGCCCAAATCATTGACTAGGACCAATTCTCCAGTATCAGAAATTCAAAACTTAGCACCTCTCCAAGACACAGATGTAAGTTATCAATGTACCAGTTTTACAAATCTAAATGAATTTTCTTGCTTGTTTATGTGTCACATCTAGAAAGGTGATGCTAAGTACTTGTAAATTAACATTTCCAAACACAGTATGAGATTGACAATTTTATTGAGATAAATACATTTTGATGAAAGATTTATTTGTGCAAATGAATAAAACAACCATTTGTGAGGATGCTTTAATAACACTTAAGTTTCTGGCAAATGTTTAACAATAAATGAAACCAATGTAACATTGTGACAAACCATGGAGGTTCACTTGCACAAAATTGAGGATTGATATGGCAAGATGAGACATTGAGTTCTAGATTTTTCGACTTTATATAAATTAACTATCGATATGAATTATTTATGCTCTGTGTTCAGAAAGTAAAACTGGCTTCTCTGTTACTTGGCTGTTTTGTCTTTAGACCATTTCAGTAGGGCCAGAAATTAACATTCAGAAAAAAATCAGTAATCATGTAGTACAGAACACTTGTCCAGCTGCAACCACCATTAGTGATTTGGCTTTCAGCCAATTGTCTTGGGTATCACATGAGCTGGACCCTGCTTTCTCTCCACCCAAGGATATCGTTTAGACAATATGTATCACTTAAGTTGAAGGGTTGAGTGAAGGTAGTGGGATTTGACCCAACATTTTCTGCCTCCCAAGATGGGTAATCAACTGAAAGTGACCCAGGCTATACAGGACTTTAACATCTAATGAATGTTATGCCAGATTGTAATTAATCACATCAAGTTTAATTGCTATTCTTTAGATTTGGCAGTTCAGGTACAACATACTAATGGGCCATTGGCATAAAATCAGGTCTACATTAAATCCAAATCATGGCGTGCCATCAGAAATAGGTGGAGAACAGAGATCAGATAAGTTTCTAGACTATGAGATGGAAGTCAGTTACTTGCTTATTGATCTGTTTGAGGAATAAAATACTGGCCATTGATTAAATACTGTGATGATCTTTTTCATTACAATCTTTCTAAGCTTTAACCTTTAAATCTCAGGCCAGCTTTAACCTTTAGACCGACTACTAAACATTTATACATTTTCTCCTATATTTTGAAAAGGCTAACAGTTTTTGAGGCGGGTATAAATGGTTCATGCACATTTCCAGGATGTGAAATTATGTAACATTTGCTATAAATTTAACAACTTTACACAGATGGTCTAGAAAATTAATCTCACTGGAAGGCATAATTAACTGAACATTAGGCAAAAAAATACTAAAACAAAAATGCTGGATAGCTAAGTATTAGCCACAATTTTTAAAACATTTAATATCAGTGTAGTGATTTAAAAAAAACATGTTCTGGAAGAACAACAACTTGGATTTATGTAACACTCTTCATGCTGGATGGTGTATCGGAACACATAACAGGAATGAAATGAAGAACAGGCATGCTACTTTGGTTCTACCACTCCATTTCTCCCAGCAATGGGAGGGGAAGAGAACTTCAATTGTGGAGTCTGAAATGGGCTGATCTACCTTATTTTCAATTCTGGAATTTCTTTTAAGACAGATCTTTTAATCCATTTCCCTGCATTTTCTCCATATCCCTCATACCCATTTTGGGCCTTCACTTAGAGTAAACAGAAATTGGTATGGCTACCTAAATTACCTTTTCCCTATTGTGAACATTTCCCCAAATAACTCTTACTATCCAATTCTATTGTTTTTGTCTTTTAAGATATTCTTTCCTTGTTTTCTCAGGGATTGGATTATATTCTGCTTTCCCTTAACTTCACAAATTCTGTGAAGTGTTAAGCATTGATTGGTCCAAACAACCTCTCCTACATGTTATTTGTACAAGCAATAAAATTATTTAAAAGCATATTGATGCATACAGATATTTATAGCAAATATGAGGATGAAAGAAAATACATAAGCGATCCAATATAAAACATATGGTTACTGGTGAATGGCAGCTTTCATATTTATAAGTGAGAAATTACACTTTATTCCAAGATGAATACTTAGTGAATTCTTGCAGCCAGAATGTAGTGTACTTCCAGGACAAAGTGGTTGGGGAATACCAACAGCTGCAGTGTAGTTGTACATTAAAAAATACACCAAATTTCAATTTAGAAATATACTGGCAGTTTTTGGTAAAATATGAATAGCTTGTATCTTTATATAGCACCCTTCAAAACAGGAGTCTCGGAATCCTGTGAAGCACCACTTTAAAAGCCCTTTCAAAAACTTTTTAGCTTTTCAGCACAATAATACTGAATTTGATTTGCATTCCTATCCACATGCAATTACTAATTGCAAACATTTATGAAATCCAATGATGACTGTGCTGCTGGAGTGGGGTGAGGAACACTGTCCAGGCAGGGAAGGTGGGGATAGATAAAAATTCTGGAGATCCTGCTCCATTATCTTTGGTGATTAGGGAATGTCTTCCATGGCTTTTCATCAGAAGGTGGTATGTGGGGTTGAAGCTCACAGTGGTGATGATATTCTGATGTATGGAATACTCCATATCTTAGTTGTGTAGGTTCAGCACAGAAACAAACCTCAGGGCCTTTACTTCAGCATTTACATATTTTTTGAGCAACCTTGCCCTCCTCCCACCCCAAAAAGGATGCAATAATAAATTTTAAAATCATCTGATTTTTAAAAAGGATCCAGTTACGAGTGCTTGTTTCAGGATAGGTGCACAACTGAATTTCTACCCACTTAAGGCTGGGTAATTTGATCACACATTCTGTAGATAATAAATGGTAAATATAAAGGCGGAAGCAAAAGTAATATGAAACACTTGAGTGTGTCTAAAACAACTAATACAGTGAAGCCTCATTATAAGACGATAGTTGGGATCCATAAAATCCTGTGAGCCAGCCATTCCTCTGCTAAAAACTGGCCAACCTTTGGGTTGTCAGGACACAATCTATGTTGTTTCCTGTGCCAGGAAGTGGCATTAGCAGCGACCTAATGGCATCAGCCATATTTTAATGCAGGAGACAGCCTGTTGTGTGCAATCCAGTAACGGGATCCACACTTCATTCACAATAATAATCCTTGCATTTGATATATCGCTTTTCACGCCTTCTAGACGTCCCAATGCGCTTCAGAGAATATACTGTAGTGAAATGACTATATTTGTGGGCAAACGCGGCAGCCAATTGCGCACAGCAATGTCCCACAGACAGTCGTGGATTGAAAATGACCAATTTTTTTTTTTTTTTTGAGGGATTATTATTATTAGAACTCGAACTTATTATTACTAGAACTGAACCCGCTTTATAACAAAGCAGGTTTTAAAGGCGATCTACTTAGTTACTCCTTTCTGCTACCGATGGAACTTTACACAAATATGTAATAACATTAAAAATTGATTACAGGAATGTTTTCTGTTGTGGGTATATGGATACTATCCTCTGCCACAAGGAAATAAGCAAAAGTTAAATTCATATTTTTACCAGATTTTACACATATATGCTTATGTAAAACTACAGAAAATTACTGTAACAGCTTCAAGCAATGAAGTCTGAGGAGAACAAAACTCTGGAGAATAAGTACACTATTTTCTTTACAAAAGTCTTTCTTCTTACTTTGCTTCTAATCAAGATTTTGCTAGCAATAACTTCCGTTTTCCTGCTGGCTTCAGCATGTGCTGTCCAAACTAGTAAAAAGAGAAAAGAGACGAGCATTATACCAAAGCTTCTTGATTTCCCATTTGCTCCATTAAACAGCATAAGTTACAATACATTAGAGGATAACATTTTTAAAAAATTGCAGTTGATTTAGCACGCTTCACATCCGGAGAACATTTCAAAGCACTTCACAGGATTCGCTGTGAAATGATTGTGTATTATTGTAGGAAGCATGGCAGCCAATTTAGACACAGCAATGACAAATTTTATATGGGGGATTGCTGCCTAGTAACTGGGAGAAACTGCCTTCTCTTTTTGAATCTTTTAACATCCATCTGAAAAGGCAGACAGGGCCTCAGTTTAACATCTCATTTGAAGGACGACACCTCTAACTCTGTATCAAAGTATCTGCCTAGGCTGTGAATTCAAAGGTTGGCAGATTCACCCAGAAGTTACGGTAAAGGATCGTACTCAAAAATCCATTTGCCCCAGGTCACTGGAATGTGTCCTAGCAGCCAGATTATAGAGCAGCATTTGCAGAGATTTCAGAGTGGCTCTCAAGTCTCTTTGTAGGGAAACTCCACAAAAAGATGGAAAAATCAAACCGATTAATGAAAAAAAAGTTTCTAATTGTTGTGAACCAAAGGAAATCTAAAGTAATTCTAAGGTTCTGAATAAGCCAAGCTGCTGAAAGTTGCCCTAAATAATTACACTTACGTTTGGAGGTTCTGCAGTTTCCATGAAGTCAGACTTTGAAAACTGGCTTTCAATTTCACAACTATCATTCTTGTAGCGATGTGCAAATTTTCGTTTCAAAGCTGCCGCTATGAGTGCAGTTGGATCTACTGAAGACTGATCTGGTTTGACCTTTAAATCATTCACTGATCTGCAATGAAAAGAAAGTTTTCACATTACCATATTTCAATATCATAACTGGTAAATCAATATAATTTTAGAAATTCTATCAAACAAAATTGGCATTGTAAACCCTCCATAGCGTTGGAATCCAATGGATTAGAACAAAACGGGTCTGCATTCGTTTTCATTCCCAGAGAAATGCAGATCTATGGCAAATTGGTCTTAGACTTTGTATTACAAGGTTGGGTAATCCTATCAAAACCAAGTGTATTTTCCGGCACTACCTGACAGACAATTCATTCATCAACCGAATGGAGAAATACACTATTTTAATCCCTACCTTATATCTCCTTCATTCTCCCTGCATTTCAAAATATTCATTCTCTGTCCTAAATGGTATATATGGGTAAGTTGTCACTTTTGCTTTGGTTATGTCAAGTCCATTTGGCTGGTTAAACTTTATATCAAATGCCTGGCTGCAATCTGCTTTTTGAATATGCTCAGGCTCTTCTAAACTGCATCAATTCCTGCTAAAATCCAAATCCCTCAAATGGGTCAAAGTTACCACAAATAAAACACATTTCAATGAACTTAAAGACACTAGTACAATAAAGTAACACTTATATGGTGCCTTTTACGTCAGGAGGACATTTCAAAGTGTTCGACAATTCTGGTTGGGCATTGGAATTGCAGGTGGGAGCTGAAAAGGGTAAGGAGCTGAAAGATGACTGAAAGCACAAAGAGGTGCATTTAGAGGCAGGCCTTGAATGAGGGGAGGAAAGGAAGCAGCAAGTTAGAGGGACCTGGGAATGGAGTTACAGAGAGCAAATACCAAGTGGCTGATTATGGGGTGGATAGAGTGGAAGAAGTGGAATAGGCCAGTGGCTTAGAGAAGAGAACATCCAAGTTGGTCAGGGTGAAGGAGGCTAGTGGTAGGGTGGGTAAAACATGGGAGAGATTTAAATAAAAGAATGAGGATCCTGAACTCCATCCCCTGGGGATGGGGAGCCAGTCGAGCCATGCAAGGATGGGTGTGATAGGCTCACTGAGCTTGGTACAGGAGAGGACATGAGAGAGGCAGGGCAGCAGAATGGATCCTATTGATTTTCGACCCAAGGAAATCCTTCATCTCCTTGCATTTAGAGTTGGAGGAGAACACAGGTTGAGCATGGGAAGGTGAGCGAAGGAGGGAGTTAGTGGCAGAGAAGACGAGACTGTTATTGTCTTTTTTCAGGATAATCCTAGATAGGTATCAAGAAAATAAATTATAATACACACTTCTTCACAGACCGCAGTTTCACTTTGTTTATGTCTTTCAAAATATCCAACATGTTTGGCATGGTTTGCTGCTGAGGCATGGTTAGATTTTGATCACTGTCAGCTCTCTTTCCTCTTCGTTCTTTGATGAGGTCGATTGCAGACATACTCTGCTGGAAAGGCGGTGGAGGTGGGAGTGGCGGCGGAGGTGGTGGTGGTGGTGGAGGAGCAAGTGCACAGAGAGGAGCAGCACCAGGTGTCACTAGAACAGAGTTAATGAAGTTAAATAAGAAATTAATTTATTTGCCTTTGACTCGCCTTCTACAAGTCACCTACAAATTAGATGTAATCCACATTTTTCATGCTAACCAAAATATTATTGACAAAAAAACCATATTTTTCTATTTCACTTTATTCTTGAAACCAACTTATAAAATACTATAACCTTATCCAATTAAGTTAAAATAATTTATAAATTGAGAAGCCAGGCAACATTATAACTCCATGGTATTATATACAATTATATATATATATATATATCATTGACTCAAGCACCTTCAGATCCTTTTCTACAAGAATTAGCTTAGAAGGCAAATCGGGAAATCAATTTCTTTAGATACTTGTCATATAACATATACATAGGCTATATAAAGCAATCTGAACAAATAGGAAGGCTTGATGGTTGATTGGCACTACCTTACTTTATAATGCCAATCCCAAATTCCCTATCTGACAGAATTAGCCCAAATATTTGCAGTTTAAACTGATATTTGAACAGAATTTTTTTAAACAAATTAGGGAAATGTATTCTATCATGGAAAATTGATTATTTGTGAATTTCAAGGTCTCCTTTGTTGACATCTATAGAAAGATAATTGCTACAAAGCTGGGATTGGTTGAGATCCATTGTACTTACCTGCTGAAAGACTGTTCTTTTCCTGTATAGTCACAATCATGGCGATCTGTTCTCGTAATTTAGCAAGTTCATTTTCCAATACATTGATTTTTTGTAGTGCTTCATCATTAGCTAATGTGGGAGTTGCAGGTTCTAGTTCATTTTTTGGTGAGGAAACGATTCTGCTAATGGATCCTGCAATACATGGAGTAGTTTGCTGTGTAAGCTCAGCACATATCGGTCGAACCTCAGATCTGTGGGTGCAGAAAACAGGAAGTAATATAGTAATATAGTAAGTTAAAGGCTATACTGTACAGAAATCAATGGAATGGTTTGCTTAACAGGAACATTTATAGTGGTATAAATTTTCCACCCTTTATAGGCTCAATTGTTAGCCAGCATTCTGTAACTTTGCACTTAAAGTGGCAGCAACTATTTGCATATAATTAGGGCGTGTGATGAACAATGGGAACCATTGGTATAGAAGAAGAAACTGGTCTGCCAATAGTTACATTCCCTGTATTGCACACATATATGTCCGTGCATTTGATAAGATAGCTGGTGCATTTTACTGCCGTGCACCTTTTAGACTTCCCCCACAATGGATACATCCATTAACATGTCTATTTGGAATCAGTAAACAGTTGCAGTTGCTTCTGTAGTGTGCTGTTTAGGAGGATGTTGGGTATCAGCTCGAAGGAATGAGTGACCAACATGAATACTGAGAACAGGGTATGTACTTTCTGATTTTTTTTAATATATGGGCTTGCCTTGTCGTTTAGGTAATTATTAATATCACTTCATGTGGTTAATTAGTGAAAATCAAGGAGATTAGGATTGATGAGCAGACGCCATCAACTCTTAGCATTGTCAATCAGTTTTTAAAATTGGTGTTGGGCTCATTGTATGAAATGCAAGTAAACTCATAGCTTTGATTGTTACGGTAGAGGTGGTAGCTTTCCTGCCAATTTTTTGGGGGATTTTAAAACCCTTTGAAATCTAAACCTACAAAAAATAGGGTCAACATCCTTCTATTGTGTCTATTTAATAATAAACCCTTACATTTGATACAAATGACTTCTCAAAGCACTTCACAGGATATAATGTAACGTGAACTTACATGAACCTTGTAAATGATTCACCTTCATCACCAACAATCCAGCCGACATCAGCAAGGGAAGCAACGGCCCTTTCTTTCACATCTCCTGATTTCTGATTAGTCTGGTCACCTTCTCCAAACGCATGGAAAAGCTATAAAATGTAATAAATCAATGGTTATTCAGTTCTCACGAACAAAAAGATAAACACCATCCCTACATAATACAGTAAAACCTGGCATTGGAGCCATTTGGGCTGACAAATTTTAATGGGTTGAAAGGTATGTTTTGGAGCTAAGGCTAAAAAATCCAATTATTTTTTAAAGGTGACTTGTGAAAGGATTATTCTGTCATAGGCCATACAATTATTCAAATAAAATGCATCTTGGACACATTTCTTTACAATAATCTTTAAGATTTAAAATATTCTTCATTTGGCATGAATGAACATGACAGGCATAGGAAATCAGTGAGATACCCGTCTCTTTAACACGTCTCCATGCAGGAATATGATCATATTTCACTGTATTACAATGATCATCTCCAATGGACTTAATTGTACTTTTTCCCCCCAACTTCATTAGCCATATTTTGGTGAATGTCATGGGTATGATTTTGAAGGTTCAATTTTCTCATCTGGTATCTCACAGCTATGGTTAAATCTTTTTTGCCTTTCTTACATCAGGACAGCAGGAAATGTTTTCAGGATAAAGAAACATGAACAAAATACAGAGTGGAAGGCACTGAAGAACAAAATGCTTATTTGAAACCAAAGGCACAAGAAATTATTGAAATTCACTAAAAACAGAAGGAAAAGGATGATAGAAATTTTTGACATGATTAGCAACAGAATCGTATGATTGAATGAAAGGTAGATAGAAAGTACGATGTAAAATAAAACAAGAGGAGAGTGATTGGAACAGAGCTTTATGGAACTCCACTGAGTCCCGCAATGACCTATCCTACTCAGTCACTCTTCTCCACAGCTCCCCCTCCTCCACTCTCGATTCCCTTGCTCCCCTCTCTTCCCGAACCATCTCTTATTCACGCAAGTCACTATGGTACACCGGCCACCTCTGCTCCCTTAAAGCACAGGTGGGTGACACTGAACGCACCTGACTTAAATCAAACTTAACTGTCCATTGGCAGATCTGGCTGGACCTTATCAAATCTTACCGCTCCTCCACTAAATCGTCGTTCTACTCCAAAACAATCTTGGAGGCCAAGGACAACCCCAAGCTCTTCTTCTCCATCACCAACCAGCTTCTCCGCCCACCCTCTCATGCCTCGCCCATCCTCACTTCAAATGCCAACTGTGAGGCGATGCTGGACTTCCTCAGAGAGGTATGGTTGGGTGTCATCCCCATACATGTGGAAGTTGACCCCATGTCAGCGGATAATGCCAACAAGAGGGAGCATATAGATATAGACCAGGGATCCCTCTGCCTCCTTGACCTGTCTGCTGCCTTTGACACCTTCGACCACTCTATCCTCATCCACCGCCTCTCCTTTCACATCAACCTTCATGGCTCTGTCCTTGACTGGTTCAGATCGTACCTCTCACACCGCCTCGCCTCCACTTCATCTCTACAAACGGTTTCTCCTCTAGCCCCTGCATCGTCTCATGTGGCGTTCCTGAGAGCTCTGTCCTTGATCCCCTCCTCTTCAATATCTATATGCTCCCTCTACTTCTCTGCCTCCACTTGACTCCAGGACCATTGCTGTCCTGACAGAATGTCTGTCAAATGTCTTTCAAGTCCTGGATGAGAGCTAATTTTCTTCAGTTGAACATCAACAAGACCGAGGCCCTCCTGATTGGTTCCTGTCAGCACCTCCACACCTCAGGGTTGACAGCATCACCATCCAGGGATGCACACTCCACCTTACTAAGCCAGTCTGGAACCTTGGCATTTTGTTTGACTCTCAACTATCCTTTCTACCCCACATCTGTGCGATGACCCACTCTGCCTTCCCCCACCTGCGCAACATAGCCCGGCCCCGCCACTCTCTCACACTGCAGGCCGCTGAAACCCTCACACGCAGTTTCATTACATCGAGGTTTGACTATGCAAACTCCCTGCTTGTCGGCCTCCCCAACTCCTCCCTCCATAGGCTGCAGATTATCCAGAACTCTGCAGCCCATGTCCTCTCCAGCACCAGGCTCCGTGACCCTATCACCCCCATCCTTGCCCGACTCCACTGGAGGATACAGTTCAAGATCCTGGTCCTCACCTTCAAAGCCCTGAATGGTTTTGCTACCCCCTAACGCCCTACCAACCTGCTAGCTCCCTCCGCTCAGTGAGCTCCAGCCTGCTTCAGGTCCCCGGCCTCGCTCGCCCCACTTATGGCGGGTGGGTCTTCTGCCACTCTGTCCCCACCCTCTGGAACTCCATCCTGCAAGGCTTCAGCCTTGCACCCTCCCTTGGCTCCTTCAAGACCCATCTCAAGACCCTCCTCTTCGACCGTGCTTTCGATCGCCCTGCTTCCCCACTTGCCCTCCACCCTCCCCAATCCCAACCTCCAACTTGAGTCCGAAACTCTGTCTGTCCGGCGCCTTGGGACTTCCTCCTGATATGAAAGACGCTATACATATGTAATTTTGTTGTTGTTGTTGTTGTTGTTGAGTCCCACTGTTTGACTTTGCAAAATTTAGATGGAGAGTAGAACTTCTAACAGCTGGTGTGCAAGCCCAAGTGACGAGTTACAAGATTCATAGTACACAAAGCAAACTGCTAAAATTAAGGCATCTCATTGCTTTCAATGATATAAAGCACTCGAGCTCAATGATATTATCACACCAGAGTAGAATTCATTTTAAGTCAAACACTTAAAAACCCTTGTGAAACCAACCACCAGAGTCCAAAAGCATTTTTTTCCTGCTCAAAATATTCAACCTGAACTGTATGCCAGAGACATAAACACTTTGGTCTCAAAAGTAACACATCAATTTTGTGAAAACAATTATGCAGATAAAAAACAAAAAGGTTTAATGAAGTTTCAATTTCAAAACAATCATAGATAACTAACCTTCATTTGGTGCAATGTATAGTCCAATCATAATGCGAACAAAGCTATCAAAAAGGAAAAAGAAAGAGGATAGAGGAAAAGACTTGCCAGAGCAGAAAATAGCCACAGGTAACATCCAGAGGTTTCAGAAGAGCAGTATGTCTTAACTACTGATCTACAACACAGTAAATACATTATCCTTACATGACAAGTATTTTGAAATCACAGATCTAAATCATTGCCTTCTTCCTAGCATATAATTGTGATACAAGGTCAATCTGTCATAGCAAGGTTTGTACAGTTCCCTCTAATGGACAGAGCTCTCTTAAGTTTGAAGTACCCACAGGTTATTATAAACATTAATCCTTGCATTTGATATAGCACCTTATTGTGTCTTCAAGATGTCTCAAAGCACTTCACAGAATGTGGCAACCAATTGCACAGTAGTGCCCCACAAACAGTCGTGGATTGAATGACCAAATTGTTATTTATTCATTTTTGGAGGGATTATTAACTCCCGGAAAAGTGATCTGCCAATCAACTAACAACTGGGATCCTACTTAATATTAGGTAAACAGGCGTATAGTAAGGAAATTTGCGTAAGGTTTCGCCTCATAAACTTGCTTATCGGCCTTCTCAATTCCTCCCTCCACAGGCTGTAGATAATACGGAGGCTGTAGATAATACGGAACTCTGCAGCCTGTGTCCTCTCCCGCACCAAACTTTGTGACCCCATCTCCCCCATTCTCGCCCGACTCCATTGGCTCCCTATCCTTAAGAAGATCCCGTTCAAGATCCTGGTCCTCACCTACAAAGCCCTCCATGGCCTCGCCCCACCTCTGTGACCTCCTAACCCCCTACCAACCTGCCTGCTCCCTCCGCTCAGCCGACTCCGGCCTGCTCCACGTCCGCCGCCCCACCATTGGCGGGAGAACCTTCAGCCACTTGGCCCCCAACCTCTGGAATTCCATCCCCCAAACACTCCGCCTCGCCCTCTCCTTAGCCTCCTTCAAGTCCCGCCTCAAGACCTCTTCTAGCATGCCATCAGCCACCCCCCTTTCCCTCCCCTCCCACCACCTGACCCCAGCTTGGGTCTGACATTCTGTACACTGTCCAGCACCTTGGGACGTCCTCCCGACATGAAAGGCGCTATACAAATGTAATCTTGTTGTTGTAGAAGTACAAGTTGTACAAACCACATTTAAAAAATGTAGGATGTAACTGTAGCCAAAGAGGAAAAATTGTAGATCAGTTTCTCCTAGATTTTATTCCAATGCTCCCACGTTTTTTTCCTCCCTTACTCATAACACAGACCACTTTCAACCGAGAGGGCAGACCAGTTGCTGATACAGATCATGAGCCAGCTACATGAAATTCTACTAAAGTAGCATGTGGGATTGGATCTCAGATATTCTGTGCATCTCATCCATATAGAATATGATAGGAACAAACCAGTGTTCTGCAATTCTATGATAATAAATAATAATCCTTGCATTTGATATAGCGCTTTTCACGTCTTCTCGATGTCTCAAAGCGCTTCACAGAATAGACTGTAAAGTGAATTGACCGTATATTTGTTGGAGGAATATACTACAACATATTGACATTTATCTATGCCTTGTGATTTAATAATGAGCCTGGACTATTTTCCACACATGTGATAATATCTAGCCAATTTAAATGAAGCTACCTTACCTGAAATTGAATCCTGGGGCATGGGCTAAGTGGCAGGCTGGTACCTATTCTCCGAATAATACTGCGAGATGAACCGTATGGCTTCTTTGACCCAAACAGCTGCACCTGAAAATAAAAATATTTGTTTTTAAAGATATAAAAGAATTTGTTACATTTTAGCCATTATCAGCGCTTTGGGATGTCCTCCCAACGTGAAAGGTGCTATACAAATGTAATCTTGTTGTTATTCTAAATTTGGAAACTAGGTGAAGGGTCAAATAACGTTCTACATATTAGCATACGTATAACCATCTTTGTTAGCCTGGTTCAGTTGGTAGCATTCTCGCTTCGAGTCAGAAGGTTGTGGGTTCAAGTTTAAAATGATGTAGATTGTAGAAGAGATGGCTGGAGGTAAGAAGTTAGACAAAACTAGTCAGGAACAAAAATGATGAAATATCATATAATGACAATGTCTTAGTAGGATACTATGCCAGCCCATCAAAGGCTGTGTAGAGATCCAAGCCATTGACAAATATTATGAGTGTTCCAAGAGCAGAGTGGGAAACTTAATAAAAAGACAGTAAGCATGCATGATCAAACAATAACCACCATCATGGGTTTGGTAGGAGCTCTCAAGGGTGATGGATAATTTGAGAGACAACGCCTATAAGTATAAAAGTCTTGGGGGTAGTTTGAAGGGAAGAGAGGCACATTTCTTACGTGAATACCAGAAAAAGGCAGCAGTAGTTTAAATTGTTAACAAGTTAGCTCTCATTGATTGGGTGTGGTTTGTCTAGCAATGAGTCACCAAAACTGTAATAAGAGTTCAGACTGGAGATGAGAAAAAGATCCAGGAGATTCATTGCATTGCTCAGCCAAATCAGGAATCCGAATAAGGTAATTAAGATCATTCAACATGCCATGAGCTCAGCATAAGTGCCTGCCTGAAATAGAACAGCAAAGCAGAACTAGTTGATGGTAACCACTGAAATCATCAAGAATTATGATTTTAGAAGTAGAGCATTTAAAATTAATAATCAATGTCACTAGACAGAAATGTACTGAAGAATTATCCAGTTTAGGAGCACAAAAAAGGGAGCAGCTACATTTAGGGAACAGTTATACTTTTAACCTCACTGAATTCCAGGTCAGTCGGAGCAAATATAAGCACCCAACACCTTCTTTGGGTGAGAAGTTCGAGCAAAAAGAGTGTGAGGGGAATGAAAGTAGAGAAGAAAGTGAATTTAATGGAGACTTATAACACACACACACAGATAATTGCAGATTGAAGCTACCTGTATTAATGCATCATTTATATGAATAAGTTTATTTATGGAACCCCATAGACATTTATAGATAGATAAAGAGCTCTGGGGCACTGCATGAATACAATTTGTTGTTGTTATCAATAAAGTTAGAAACAAAGTTAAATTCAAATTGTAAGATTTGTGTCACCTTTCCGATGTTTCTTAACAGGACTCTTCAATAAGAAATCTGATTTATGCAAATAGGGTTTCCTTCCAGTAACTGGAAGTAGCTCACAGGGGCTGTGAAGCAGACTAGTGTTTGCTGAATGGAGTGAATAATGGGCTATAGGGCCGTAAAGGTAGGGTGCGGCGAATCCACGGAGGCACTTAAAGGGAAGGGTGAAAATTCTGAATTTGATTTGCTGGAAGATGGGGAAAATGGAGCTGAGCGAAAAAGCAGTTGATGGACCTGCAGAGTGTGGTGCAGGAGACCTACAAAGTAGGATCCTTGGAAATTCAACTGCACTGTAAATTCTGACTGGATTTCTTATTACCAAATTGTTGTTTGAAATGTAGCTTAGTGGTTAGAGCACTCGCCTCGCAAGCGAGAGGCCCTGGGTTTGATTCCCAGCAAGACGAAACGTTGGGCAAGTTTCCTTACTCCACACGCGTCTGTTCATCTGGCAGTAACTAGGAACCCGTTTGTTAGTTGATTGGCAGATTGCTTTTCCTGGGATAATTATCACATCAGAATAATTAAAAAAAATAAATAATTTGGTCACTCAATCCACATTTGTTTGCGGGACACTGTGCGCCATTGGCTGCCGCGTTTCTCGAAGACGTGATAAGGCGCTGTGTCAAATGCAAGGATTATCAAATACAAGGATAATAAATGCTGCAAATTAAGATCCCGATTTTACAGAACAGAGGGACAATTGTACGAGATTAGTGTTTTACTTACCGAATCCATTGCCACTCCGGCGTATTCCGTCATCGTTCTAATCATTTGAATGAGGAGTAAAAACATTTATAACTGCACCAGAAGGTTACCATCCTCAGGAAGTGTACCCGTGCCAAAGCGGGAGCTTGGAAGCCATTATATATTATAGCCCCTATGAAAGAAAAGAGACACATTTTCGTCAAATTCAAAAATCTCCTAAAGGGGCAGTGAATGAGTCATCCGGACAGACTGACACACACACAGACTCACCACCACGATCGGCCTCATCATCCACTGCCGACATTGCACACACACAAACAGAGACAACAAACACATCGGAGACCGATCACGTCGCCGCGGGTCCTCCGGCCATCGCCGCCAAGAGGTACAGGACAGCGCTGTCCAATCCCGCTGCCCCCCCTCCGCCTTCCCCGGGGCGGGGGGGGTTCGTGGTCCAGCCCCCGCCGCCGATGCCAGACCGGACACCTCTCTCCGCGGGCCGCACGCCACCTGCGCACATCACCCTCTCCATCCCCGGGATCAACAGCGTAAAGACTCTTTACCTCCCGCCCGGCGCTAATCACGGCCAGTGTTATAGGCGGCTCTGGTTACTTTGCTCCACTCTCTCTCTCTCTCTCCCCCGGTGCCCCCCCTCCCCGGTGCCGGCGCTGTACTCACCTCTTTCTCTCTCGGCGGCGGCGCTAACTGTCAGCCGCGAGACCCCGGTGACGCTGCTTCCGGTGTGTCTCAGCCAATCAGAAGCGGCGGCGGCACCAACCGCCCACAGAACCTGCAAACATTCAAACACTGCCCCTCTCCCCCCCCCACCGTTGCTGTTGTTGTTTACAAAACAAAGTTGTCTTTTTTTAAAAAAAAGCTGGAAATACTAAAAAAACGTGCGCTTCAAATGCAGATGTAAATAATAATAATAATAATAAACGAGTTTGCGTCTCACTCTCTCTGGTATTGTCAATCAGCCATAAGCAGCGCAGTAAGCCGTGCTCTGATTGGCCGGGGCTGCTGGACCAATGGGATGAGCGGGATGGCGGGAGTGCGGCCAGGCCTGGTGAAGCGGTTGACGAGAGGAGAGTCCGACACCCGCTGCTCTGCCTGAACTTCAACTCGCGGCCGCTGTTGGCGTCGCCCCATCCCCCCGGTGCGCGCGCGCGGTCAGCTCCCTGAACCCGTTGAAGCTGATGGTGGTGGTTCGCGGCCGCTGACGTATTCAAGCCGTCGTTTGCCTTTGTTGTCGCGTGGGCGGGTGGGAGTGAAGGTAAGCGTTGCCGGCGGGGCCTGGCCCTGTCCTACCCCGACTGGAGGTGAAACGCCGAGTCCCCTGTGATAGAGGGAAGGCCGCGCGCGTCCTCACTACCCTGCCCTGTCCCCCTGCCCGGCCTCCCTGCCCTGCCCTGCCCGGCCTCCCTGCCCTGCCCTGCCCGGCCTCCCGGCCCGCCCGGCCTCCCGGCCCGCCCGGCCTCCCTGCCCTGCCCCCTGCCCTGCCCCACTGCCCTTCCTCCCTGCCCTGTCCCCCTGCCCTGCCCGGCCCGGCCTCCCTGCCCGGCCTCCCTGCCCTGCTCGGCCTCCCTGCCCTGTCCTGTCCCCCTGCCCTGCCCGGCCCTGCCTCCCGGCCCGGCCCGGCCTCCCTGCCCTGCCCGGCCTCCCTGCCCTGCCCGGCCTCCCGGCCCGCCCTGCCCTGCCTCCCTGCCCTGCCCCCCTGCCCTGCCCGGCCCGGCCTCCCGGCCCGGCCCGGCCTCCCGGCCCGGCCTCCCTGCCCGGCCCGGCCCCCCTGCCCGGCCCGGCCCCCCTGCCCGGCCCGGCCCCCCTGCCCGGCCCTGCCCGGCCTCCCTGCCCTCCCCGGCCCGGCCTCCCTGCCCTGCCCTCCCCGGCCCGGCAGGCCCGAGGTTTGTTTGGGCTAAGTGCGTTTCTGGCCGCTTCTCGATCGCTGCTTTTCGCCCTTAAGGTGAAGCGGCGGCGCTGTGGTTTATTACTGGGAATGACAGGCGCGACCCTCAGACTTGTCCAGTCAAAGCGACACCGCCCCCCTCCCTCCCTCCCCTCAGGCACGCGGGACAGTGCCTCTCCTAAGCTATTTTGAGCAGTTTGATGACATGGGTAGAGGTTGATTTTTTTCCCCCCTCTTCTTTGACTTCTTGGACAACCTTCGTATTTTTCGGCATTTGAGCGAAATTTTGAATCGTATTTTTTTTATTTTTGATGACTGAATTTGTAGACAAACACAGCAGCTGATTTGTGTAGTAAAGTCCCACAAACAGCCATGAAGTGAATGACCAATTTTATCTGGAGAAATATTGGCCACGACACATTCCATTCTCTTTTTGTCCAGTACCATGGGAATGATAGTTTATACCATAAGTTAAATTTTACGTTTTTATTTTATATTTGTGATTAACCGGTACACCCAGGAAGGACTTATAATAATTAAACGTATACAATATTGGTGATCAAACAGACATATTTGTGTGGTATTCTAATGAGGACTTTGACATTCATTTCATTGCTTCGTGAAGGACTTTTATGTATTTGTAGCCTTTGGTAAATGTGATCGATGGGTACTGAATGTACTAAATATTAAGTATTATGTCTTTCAGAAAAAATATTCACAAGGTTGTCAAACATATGGCAAAGTGGATGGTGGCACAATGAGTGGTGAGCCTGATGCATTAGCAGTAGTAAACCAGCTGCGAGATCTGGCATCTGACCCTCTAAATAGACGACCAATTGTCCAGGATCAGGGATGTTTACCTGGGTTGATACTTTTCTTGGATCACCCAAACCCTCAAGTTGTTTACTCTGCCCTATTGGTAAGTTCAAATGTACTGGTCATTGCGTTCCATTTCAAAATCTATTGTACAAGCCAACTGTCCTACCCACCACATCATAGGTGACCTGATGACTTGTAAGTTGGCCACGTTTTGACCTCACGTCCCACCACATTAGTGGTGACCTGATGACTTGGAAGTAGGCTATGTTTTGACCTCTGGGTAATTGGTCAGTCCACATGCTCAGGACCACAGAGTACCCCTCACCTTTTAGTGATCCAGCATTACGTGGGCAAATTGTAATGGTGTTCTACTGTATTGGCAGTCTGTTAATCATCATAAACTGCCTCAGTATATTTGATTGTTTTCCTGGTACTACTACTGTACAACTTGTGCTTGTATAGCTCCTCACAAGAACTTAAACATCTCAAAGCAATTCAGACATTGAGTGGGAACTTGAGCATAGTGGAAGATAGGTAGTTCTTCACTACACCCCAAAACTTCTTCCTCAATCCTTCCGCCTTGTCCTGCTTGAAAACCTTCCTCTTTGACCGTGCTTATGTTCCCCCCGAGTCAGGCTCAGCCACTGTTAAGCGCTCTGAAACGCTATCTTGCGTGGCGGGCGCTATATAAGCGCAAGTTGTTGTAGTTGGAAGGAAATGACTGAAGGCGCAATCAAAGAGGTTTATTTTTAATAAGGATTTGAAAGCGGTGGAGGGATTCAGAGTGAAAGTTGGAGAGCTGAAGGCAAAGAGGCTGAAGACCCATCTGCTGATAGTGGGGGACATCGAAAAAATAGGCTCCATCAAGAATGGAAGTGGTACACTTACGGAGTCTGGTATAGGAAAGAATAAGCTTCTGTAGGTTCGGATTGGGAAGGGTTGTGTTGGCAAGGCTGAGTAGGTCGGTATTGGAGAAATTAAATATGGAGGTGAGTAAAGGGCGGGTCATAGATTTGACAGCTACACTATACACCATTTGGCTATTTATCCATTATTTTTTTTAAAAAATGTTCTCTCCTTTCTTCAATGGCTTTTTGTCATCTCTCATTCTTCCCCCAACCTACTAAGCTGCTTTGAAGCTGGCCACGAGGAGGTGTGAGATATTCTTAATGTACTTTTTTATTTTGCTGTCTGTTGTGAAGTACATTAGCGCTACTTAGCATTGGCAGATTAATAACAAAGCTTTTGAGACCCCAAGTCCTGCTAATGTTGCATTAGGTTAGTACTTGTATTACACTACCACTACGACCTTTTACTTTCAGGATCACGCAAGAATTGCATAGTAAGTTATAGCTGAGTTATCATTGTTTATTGTTTCTGTGGCTAAAAATATGCTGTATGTAAAATTTCTTATTTGACGTATGCAGCTTAAACTCTAGCTCTTAACTAAAACTTTACAAACTGCATCCTCTGACATTGTGTGTATGTTTCCTTGACAGTATGTATTTGTTGAAAATGCATAAATTAGTACAGTACAAGAAGATCTAGAAGAGAATTGCACACTTCTTTTTTTCAATAACTAAATTTTTAACTGAATGAAACAGTATTGTGCAGAACAGTTGCTGTCCAATTATTGGCTAAATACAGTATGTGCTTGTGATTTCAATGTGTTGTAAGCCTGTTCTATAAATGTAATATTTTAAAGAGTCAGTCCCGCTCAATTTAGTAGTCTAGGAGTCAGAGAGTTACACGTTCAAGCCCCTATCACGTCTAGAGACTGATACTCTGATGCAGCGCTGAGGGAACTCTGCAGTGTTGGAGGTGCTGTCTTGCAATTAGATGTTAAACTGAGGTTACTCAGGTGAATGTTAAAATTCCCGTGGCATTTGAAAAGAGAAGGGAATTTCTCTGTGTTCTGGCCAATAATTCCCCAGAATTAAAAAAAAATGGTTATTCACTTTGTGGCTGGTTGTAGTACAGGGCTGAGTGCAAACTGGTTTTCGTGTTCATCTACAAATACAGCCACTATACTTACAAAAAAACTGAAGCCTTTTGAGGCATCAATATAAGGCTCTATATCAAATGTAAGTATTATAATAAACGTTTGTAGATTGGTAATTCTTTTAGGAATGAGGGAACCTCCAAGGGAACTCCATCATAATCCCCACTCCCTCTGGTATAGCACCAGTATCTTTGATTTCCTGTGGGATTGTGTTCATAGAATTCAATCCCACTCTTCCAGTCTTTCCCCATAGCTCTGCAAACTTGTCCTCCCCAAATAATTATCTACTTCTCTCTTAAAAGCTTTTAACGAATTGACTTCCACCACCCTTTCAGGCAATACATTCCAGATCCCAACAACTCGCTGTGTGAAAAAAATTCTCCTCATCTGCCCTCTGTTTCTTTTAACAACTATTTTAAATCGGTGTCCTTGGGTTACCCACCTCCCAGTGGAAATAGTTTCTCCTTGTTCACCCTATCGAATTCCCTCATAATTTTGAAAACTTCTTTTAAGTCTCCTCTTAACCTTCTCTGCTCAAAGGAGAATAATCATCCTAGCTTCTCTAGCCTCTCCTGATAACTGAAGTCCTTCAATCATGGTACCATCCTGGTAAATCTCCTTTGCACCCTCTTCAATGCCTTGACATCCTTCCTCAAGTGTAGTGCCCAGAACTGAACACAGTACGCCAGCTGAGGCCTAACCAGCGTTTTATAAAGGTTCTTCATAACTTTCTGACTTTTGTATTCTGTGCCCCTATTTGTGGAGTCCTGTAGCTCAGTGGTTAGAGCACTCGCTTTGCAAGTGAGAGACCTGAGTTCAATTCCAGGCAGAGGGCGAAACCTTGGGCAAGTTTCCTTACTCCACACAGAGCCTAATAATAATCCCTCCAAAACCAAAAACAATAATAAATTGGTCATTTTCAATCTGCGACTGTTTGTGGGACATTGCTGTGCGCAATTGGCTGACGCGTTCGCCCACAAATATACAGTCAATTCACTTTACAGTGTGTTCTGTGAAGCGCTTTGGGACGTCCTCCCGACGTGAAAAGCGCTATATCAAATGCAAGGATTATTATTATTATTATAAAGCCTAGTATCCCATATGCTTTTTTAACAGCTTTATCTACCTGTCCTGCCGCCTTCAAAGATTTACTTATATGAACCCCCAGGTCTCTCTGTTCCTTCACCTCCTTTAAGATTGTACCATCAGCTTATATTGCCTCTCCTCATTCTTCGTCCCAAAATCCATCACTTCGCATTTCTCCACATTAAACTTCATCTGCCACATGTCTGTCCATTTTACCAGTCTGTCTATGTCCATTTGCCGTCTGCTACTATCCTAGTAACCCAGGAGGCATCACGTCCAGACCGGGTGACTTATCTACCTTGAGCTCTGACAACCATTTTAGTACCTCTTCTCTGTTTATTCTTATTTTATCCAATTTCTCTACCCTCTCGTCCGATACTATGGCATTGGCTGCATCCTCTCCTTTTGTGAAGACAGATGCAAAGTACTCATTCATTACGTCAGCCCTCTGCCTCCACAAGAAGATTTCCTCTTTGGTCCCTAATTTGACCCTCCCTACCTTTGACTAATCTTTTATTCTTTATATGCTTATAAAATACCTTAGGTTTCCCTTTTATGTTAACTCTAATCTTTTCTCATACAATCTCTTTGCCCTTTGTATTTTCTTTTTCAGTTCTCCCCTGTACTTTTTATATTCTATTTGATTATATTCTGTATTTTGGACCTGACAATTATCATAAGCTGCCTTTTTCTGTTTTATTTTAATCCAAATTTCCTTATTCATCCAGGAGGTTTAGATTCCCTACCTTTCCCCTTTGTGGGAATGTATTTATTCTGTCTCCGAACTATCTCCTCCTCGAAGGCTTCCCATTGCTCGTTAGCTGTTTTAGCTGCCAATCTTTCTTTCCAGTCCACCTTGGCTTGGTCCCTTTTTAACTCAGTGAAATTAGTCTTCTTCCAATTGAGTATCCTCACCTTTGATTGCTCCTTGTCCCTTTCCATAAGTACTCTAAACCCAATGTTGTCCAGATGCTCTCCTACTGAAACCTGTTCTACTTGCCCCACTTCATTCCCCAGAACTAGATCCAGCACTGCTTCCTTCTGTGTTGGGCTGGAAACATACTGATCCTGAAATTTATCCTGCACACATTTCAGGAATCCTTGCCCTTTATACTATTTATTTTGCCCGTTTATATTAGGATAAGTCTCCCATTATCAATGCTTTATTGGTTTTGCATCTTTCTGAAATCTGCTTGTAGATTTGCTTGTCTATCTCCTTCCCACTATTTGGTGGTCTATAATACACCTAACAGAGTAACAGCTCCTTTTCTGCTCCTTAACTCTAACCAAATAAATTCTGTTTTTGGACCCTCTAGCACATTGCCCCTTTCCAGGGCCGTAATTGTGACTTTAATCAATATTGCCACCTCCCTTTTTTTCCTTCCCTATCCCTCCTGAATACATTGTGGCCAGGAATATTCAGCTCCCATTCCTGCCCTTGTTTGAACCAGGTCTCCATTACTGCCACTACATCATAACCTCACGTGGCCACTTGAGCCTGCAGCTCACCAATCTTATTTGTCACACTCTGCATTTATGCAAATGCACTCCAAGACTGACTTAGTCTGTTCTGAATTTCTCCCCCGTCTAAACCCTCCTTTTTCTGGATTACTTCTTATTACATTGTTATTCATCTCTCCCAGCCCTCTATGTAACTTGTTTGTCCCCTCTAATGCTGCATCCTGATTCCCTTCTCCCCTCAAAATTAGTTTAAATCCTTGCCCACAGCACAAGTTAACCTCCCTGTGAGGACATTGGTCCCAGCCCTACTCAAGTGTAACCCATTCACCTTGTACAGGTCCTACCTGCCCCAGAACTGATCCCAATTATCCAGGAACCTGAAGCCCTCCTTTCCGCACCATTTCTCCAGCCATTCATTCATGTGTCTGATCCTGCTGTTTTGATACTCGCTTGCACGAGGCACTGGAAGTAATCACCACCTTGGAGGTCCTACTCTTTAGCTTTTTCCCTAGCTTCTGATACTCTCCCTGTAGGAACTCTGCCCTTTTTTTCCCCAAGTCATGGATCCCAACATGGACCACGACTTCTGGATGCTCCCCTTCCAACTGCAGAGGCAACACACCTTGCGAGCGTCACATCTTTGGTTGCAGAAACGCCTGTCTACTCCTTTCACCATTGTGTCCCCATTGACAATTGCATTGACATTCTTCCCTGTGATCCCCTGTGCATCCGTTTGTTTTCAGCTCCCCTCCCCGGAGGTGTCATCACCCTGACTGGTATTCAGCGCAGAGCACCAGCTTGTGAGTGCTGCACTCTCAGGGGAATTCTGCACTGACCGTCCTCCCTTCCATACCAGGTGGTCACCCACTCACTCTCCTGAACTCGCTGTGGGGTGACCACCTCCAGAAATGTTCAATCCATGAACTCTTCAGCCTCCCGTATACTATGTAGTGACACCAGCCTCTCCGCAAACTCAGAAACTCGAGCAGCCGGAGGCACTTCCTACACACGTGTCTGTTCAGGGCACACAAAGCATCCTGGTGTTCCCACATGGCACATATTGTGCATGCAACTGGTCTCCGCTGTCCTGCCATATTCTCAGACATGTTTTATATTGTTTTAATATAAATATTATGTTATAATTATGCACCTCTTTCCCCCTCTGCACCGAATTCCCACTCTCACCAAATTTCGTATCGGAATTCTCACTTTATTCCACCTCACTCAGTTCCCTCCTCAAACTGCTGGACTCTCTGCTCAAGCGTTAATGGAGGTGTAGTACACCTGGCTTCCTGTGCTGACTAACTCATGCTCTGCACTCAAAAGCCAACTTCTAATTCATCAAGTCGCCATTGATGTTGCTTCCTGTGCAGGTAGTTATCGTCGCACAATGTGCAAGAAGCAACAGTGGCCATATGACAACTCGGAAGATAATATTCCTTGCAATTGATATAGTATCGTATTACGTTGTTGAGACGTCTGAAAGTGCTTCACAGAATATATTGTAAAGTGGATTGACTTGTGTTTTGTGGGTGAAATACGACAGCCAATAGCGCTCAGCAGTCCCACAAACAAACATGTATGGTAGTAAGTCCACAGGAAATCAGAGATGCAAGCAAGTCAGTGCTATAGCAGACGGAGTGGGGATTATAATTTGATATAGAGCCTTACCATGTTAATGTACCATACAGATATTGCAGTTAAAGTTCATATTGCCATATTTTAGTACTTCAAAAGGCTTATGGTCTAATTTCAGGTTGATTTGGGAAGTGCTTTCGAATGACTGAGAGCAGCATGATGGCATGCACATTGATGGTCAGTGTACTGAATCATGAAGTACTAGGCTTTGGGTTTGCACCTGTAACTTTATTCTCATCCTCGCTTGGCTCCTCACCATCCAGCAGATTGATTTCCAGATCCTCGTTCTTGGATTCAAATCCCTCTGTGGCTTCACCCCACTCTAATTCTGCAACCCTACTACCCTGGCTTTTCCCTTTATTCAGCAAACATTAGCCTACTTCATGTCCTCCGCCTGATTTGCCCCACCGTTGGAAAACGAGGTTTCAGCCATTCTGCCCCCACTTTCTGGAGTCCTTGTACTTCGTCCCCTCCCTCCCCTTCTTCATAACCAACCATTTCTTTTGGCCATGCTTTCAGCTACCTTCACGCCTCGCCCCCCCCCCGTACAAAACTCTCAGGCTCCCAGTCAGCTGTGTGAAGCTGTGTAAATGTAAATTATTTTTGTTGTAATTTCCACACAGCCAGTTGCTGTAGAAGGCAAAGAGTTTAGAGACTGTGAAATTTAGAGGGCCAATTATCAAATTCTTAGCTTGTGCCCCTCTTTCTAGCCAATGTGGCTTTTGCTAGAAGTTGTATATTAGTGGCTTTTTTGGTCAGAGTGCGGTGCAGAGCCTTGGGAAAAGCAACACAAGGAGTTCAAATTTGGGGTAGGGGGTAGTGGGTGGAGGAAATTTGTAGGAATTTGTAGTTTTTTGTTGACTAGCTTAAGTCACGTTCTGTATCATTATGTTTTGGCTTGAGACAAATTCTGAAAGATTCCAGTCATTGAGGTACTATAAAGAGCCGCATGTCTAATTGCTCTTCCTTTCTTGAGTTAGACTAGCCAATTTAATGCTGAATTATATGTTGAGCAATGCTTTACTTCACTCTTACAGATGGTTTCAGCCCATTTGTCTGGGATGATCGATTGGGGTGAGCTCTCTTCAATGTATACTTTGGTTTCACATGGTCTCCTGTGGTGCCATATAGTTGGGTGGTGTGTAAGGATAAAAGAGAGTGTGACTTGAGATTGGATGGCTGGTGAGGTGGGGGGAGAAGAGCAAGAATTCTTTATATAACATTGAACCAAATCCATAGACAGCTGGAATCAAAGAAAGCAGTGCAGACATTCTTATTACCAAAGAGAGCCACGTGCAATAAATACAAGTGCAGCAAAAAGCAGTAGCAATGGAGAAGGGAACCAAGTGGTGATGGGAGTATTTCACACGTGCACAATCAGGTTCCATTTTAAAATTAATCCTTCTCCACCAGCAGTATGGCTGACAGCTGGAGGGATATCTTAAGTAACTTCTTTGGAGGTTTCTCAAGTGTTTCCCAGTAATATGACAATTTCCTACCTTGTGAACTCTATTATAGAGTATGTTTCATCACAGTGAAGTAAAAGAGTCCTGATTATCGTATTTGTATGCAGAGACCATTCAGTGGTCTCATATAAAATTAGATTCACCAACAGTGCTATCTATTAAATATTAGCCTCTTTAGTTATTTGTTATTTTATGTAATTGCAAGTTGCTGTTAGTTTAGTTTAGCAGAATTTGCTTTGTAGCCTTGTCAGTCTTTTTCTCTTATTCTGATGTATTTGATAGTAGTGTAATAATGCCATGGAAACCTTAAAAAAAATTGAGTTTGCAAAAAAANTGTAATATCTTCTGCAACTGTTGTAAGGTCCCTTAGTTGCTAATGCAAACCTTTCTAGACTTTTTGCTTTGAATAGCTTGCATTGAACCATACCTAATGTTTCTACACTAATGTCCTTTTGCTTCTCTTCCCTTTGCTTTCCTTCTCTGCCTTAGGCCCTGCGTTATTTGGCAGAATGCAGGTCCAACAGAGAAAAGATGAAGAGCGAACTGGGCATGCTGCTGAGCTTGCAAAATGTGATCCAAAAGTAAGCCTAGGCCATTTCTAAAACTGTTATTCTTTATTTTGCACTGTGCTCACTGAGAATTATATGCTACATTAAATTAATGTTTCACTGAAAAAGGTTACAATATTCTTTTTGTGTGCTTTCCCTCCCCCCACGATGGAAATGTAATTTTAAAATTGCATTATCCCATGTGCCCATTTCTTACACAGTATGGATTATGGCTTTCTAGATTATTTATAAGGGGATTGAGTGTCATTATCTTTAATTATTTTCATGGCATAGTAGAGGCAGCAAAACCTGAGCTCTAAAGGTGAATGAGATAAGTTAATTTGACTTTCAATGGTCCAGGAATGCTTTGCTCATCCCAAACTTGACTGCTTTGCAATTTGATAAACGTTTGTCAACAGTGCAGGTTTGCACATACAATTCCTGAGGCTTGGCAGCTTCCTACAGTATTCAGAACAATTCTCTCATGTATGTGGTGGGTTAGAGACTACATTGTGAGGATTAAACTATGATTTATAGTATAGGGATCTATACAATGTAGCTAATCCTCTTCTAATCCTTCTGATACCGAATGCACTTGATTAGAATACAGTGCATGAATTATCTCTTATGGCCATATACAGAAACTGTATAAGGGTCTCTGTCCACTGTATTGAGTATTGTGGCTGTTTATTCCCTCCCCCNAATGCATTTGCTGATGCAGTGATTGTCATCAATTCCATGAGAAGTTTAATTCAGAGAAAGGAAACAGTTGAAACTAATGGGATGGTGAAGTGGTTGCTTGTAAAACACTTATGTACTGTACCCCAAAGGGATTAATTATTGAAAAAGAATTGTGATACATTGTCACTTGGGTTATTTTTAATGGGCATATTCTGCTACATGCTGCTGTTAAAATCCATTTTGACTCGCTTGGGCAGGGCACTGGTGCAACGCATTCATGTCCCTGACATTGTCAAGGAGGTAGTTCCTTTTTACATACAACTGTACATTTTTTAAAAATTGAACGTGCTTTTAAAATTATATTTGTATTTTCATTAATCCTCCTTCTTGTTTTTTATTTGATTTGGTAAACATCAATTTGTCATTTGCGAACTGGCATAAATGTTTTTTGTTGATTTAAGTCTTTTCTGTTGCTGGAAAGTAACAAATTCAGAGAAAAGAGTTAATTCACAACTGGAGTTTAGAACTGCGTGCAGAGGGGTTACAGATGAGCAAGGACGGGGAGGAATAAGATTGAGTCATCAGGGGGTACATTCTTTTACTGAAACAACAGAGGAGGCTGGGTGTCTGATTGGTTCTTGGATTAAACATGAGTTTGAGATATGAGGTGAAACATGAGATCAAGGATAGGAAGCGGGTATGTAATTCATTCAGCAGAGTTGCTGTGTGTGCCATTCGTTAGCGCAGGAACCAAGAATCCTTTTTTACTGCAAGATCAAAGATTGTTGTGTTTGACTTTATAGAGGCAATACATGTGGACCTACAGTCACTATGCTTTAAAGTAAAATCCCCAGAATATTTCAATGCCGCAATAACTATGGATATCAAATGCAAGGATTTATTTATTATTATTGTGATTGATTTATCCTCGTATCATTCAAGTTGCGAAAATTGTTCTTGTAAGTAAAAGATTACTATTGTTTAGAAACGTGTATAAGCTATTCATTATAATGTTGCTCGCTGTTTAAATCCCTGAGGAGGAGGGTGTGAAAAGTTCTGGAATGACCCTATCAAGTGTTATTGCCAAATGCTTGAGCTCAATCAGCTAGGACAGAGTACAATGGCAATTCAACTTTATTTTGAAGAGGTTTGTAAGCCTATTGAAAGTGGTCTGTACCCAGCAGTAGTGTGGAACTAACCTAAAACAGCAAAAACCATGTTTGGTTTCTTGTTACACCTTTCACTTTTTTAAAAAAAAGTCAGTTTCTCTCTTCCCACCCACCGGCCCTCCCTCACACCCCCATTTCAGGATATCCTTTCAGTATTTGCAACAAATTCAGTCAAGAAAAAAAATCCCAAACCCCAAGTGGCTTTTTTGATTATTTTATGCTGTGATCAAATATCAAAACAGATTTATATAATTACTTGCTTCTGGAATACTTTTGTTGCCCGAGGACATTGTGGTTTTCTTACATATGTTGGATGTTTGTACTGCATAAGTAAACTTTCAGATTGTGGTTGCTTCAAGTATATATAATATATATAAAATATGTGTATGTGTATTTAAGATCATTGTTTTTAGTAATTAAAATTTACACAAAGATTTTTATTCCTGGACACACATACTCACTCTTTACAACAGAGTTTGTATGTGGAGAGGTGGGGTAGGGGGCACAGGACGTCAAACCATTTGTTCTCTAATTCTGGTCTAGCCTCATCTTAATAATAATCCCTCCAAAAAACAAAACAATAATAAATTGGTCATTTTCAATCCACGACTTAGTGGGACACTGCTGTGCGCAATTGGCTGCCGCGTTCGCCCACAAATAGACAATCAATTCACTTTACAGTATATTCTGTGAAGCGCTTTGGGATGTCCTCCCGATGTGAAAAGCGCTATATCAAATGCAAGGATTATTATTATTATTATTATCTTCCATCTGTCTGAGACAAAAACATCAGTTGTATTGTACCGTATATGGTGGATGATGAGCAATTGGAGTTAACAAAATATATGCACTTGGTGGCATAATATAAATGGTGAAGTGGAATAAATTATATGTATAGCATACATTAAATAATTGTGTTCAAGGCTATAATATGATTAGGATTTCAATCAATCACAATGTACTCTCCTGCTTTCTTTAGTTACACAACCCCGAGTACATAGACTGAAGCGGATGGTGCAATATCACCATTCACCACTGGGACATGGATTTTGGGCTGAAGACCTCTTCTGTTGACTGTATTGTCCTTGGATATCTCCATCCAATTCATTTTGGGTGATGGCTCGTAGAACAACAGTGTCTCTCACTTGGCACTGAACTAGCAATCTTCCTAAGTAACCATTAGGAATTCCAATGGAAAAAAAACATTGAGGTTGGGGTTATGCTATGTTGTTGGGGAAGTGGAGTGGAGTGCTATTCGTTGGCTCTGGCTAGAAGTTGATTTTTAGGAACAGTTCTTAAATCCAAGAAATTACTAATCTTTCAACATTTTGGCAATTTCCCCCCACCCACCCCTCAATGTTGTGGTATTGTGTGAGTGTACTGCATCACATAGATTGTTCTGAAAGCCTCATAGAAAATGGCACCAACATGTCTTCAAAACTGGCTTGTTAAGGAAGAGTAGATTCAGATAAATAGAAAGAGGCCTGGAATCAAATTGAAGTTGTAAAATAGCACATTACATGCCTTATTTTGATCTTTTGCCCATCTAACACATGGCTATTCAGTTTCATGTTGTTGGAGAACCTGTTGTGCAAAAGGCTCAATGATCTTTCAGAAGATTCATCTGAGAACTTTCTTTAGACCAAGGGGGATACAGGCCCAATCAATTTACAGCTCCTATGTTTACTCTGCAGGAGTGCAAATCTCACTGTTAGTGAATAGCTCCAGGTGGGGCCTAAAACAGAACTTGTCTCTTTCTCAAAATGCTACATGTTTGGCAGTGATTTGCCCAAGAATAATTCCAGAGCTTCTAAACTTGCAAGGAGAGATTCAGAGAATTGAATTAAGGGGAATGGTACATAAGAAAATTGCAGGCCATGATTTAGTTATTATTATTATTAGTTGCTGAAACCACACCTTTTAAGATACGACTTTTGAGACGGCTGTTTTATCTTGTACTGAACAGTAGAACCAGAGGACATGGCCTGAATTGAAAGGAGTACATTCAGAACAAATCTGAGGAAACACTACTCCAGTGAGCAAGTAGTAAACTTATGGAACAGGCTCCTTAAAGAGACAGTGGAAGCAGAAAAAATTATAGATTTCTGCTAGAAAATAATCTCAGGATACAGTATACAGTTTGGGACACGACATGTCAAGCGACTGTCAGGATGGTGGAAGGCAAACAAGATGGAACCTTGTTGGTCATCTTTCGCATAGCAAATTCTTATGTTCTTATTGTAGTTTCCGCAATTTTTAATGACTATAGTGATTACATGCTCCCATTGGACCATACACCTGTCAGGAACGCGAATACTTTAAGTAACTCGTTTGTGTCTCCTTTCTTGACAAGTTGACTTGGTTTTTAGAACACAAAGCGGATTGGACAGTAGAAATGTAGAAGTCATTATGATAATAGAGAAATTAGTTTTATGCCAATTTCAGTGCAGTAAGACAAGTTTTTGAATGAACGGAAGCTGAGATAGATAGCGAGTAATCTGTTCTCATAACAGTATTCCTTATTTACAAAATGTAAATTCCATTAAAATTATTTGTTAACCAGATCTTAAAATATTTACCACGCTAATATTTAAGTTGCACGGCTCTATTTAAAAAGTGTTTGGTGAAATTAATGTTCTTGTGCATCTGGTGTAAAACGGTTTAGTGCTGCGAATATGAGTGTTGTATGAAGTTCTATGTTTGAATAGATATTGCAGCAATAAGTTTTAAAAGTAGAATTCTGCAACTGTGATCAGGAGTTCCCATGTATGGTGGCACTTGTGAAGGTAAACAGAGAGAGACTGGCTGAGAATCTCCCCCCTCCCGTCCAGGAGACAGAATAAGTCTTGTATTTTATTGCAGAGTATATATTTTTTGAAATTTATGTAAAAATGATCCTGAGTTTCTATTTATAATTTTTATTTTCAGAACTACAACACCTGGCGAAACCAAGTTTTTGGCAAACGAAGTGTACGAAATCTTGCAGTCATCCAGCAGTCCAGAGTCCGAAAACACAAATGAGTACAACTCGCATAGGCGCAAAGCACAGTTCTTTCTGGGCAGCACTAACAAACGTGCAAAAACCGTTGTCTTGCAGATAGATGGTTTGGATGATGCGGTAAGAAACCTGATTTACCTAATGTAAAAGGGTACAGGGAAATATCAAAGAATTGGGATTAGATGACTGCAGTTAGTTTTAATGAAGGCGCTAACACCAACATGGGCTTTCAAAGGATTGTTTATTATCTTGTTGAATTTAGAGATGCTATTTACTTGGGCTTTCTGGATTTTAAGATTTCAGGTCAGATGTTTGAATGCTGAAATAAGTGCAGTAATATTAATAGTGTGTAGTTCACTGGTCTCCCTGGTGAAAAATGGAGATGTATAGAAGGATGGAAGGATTCAATTTGCGTAGAATAGGTGATGGGGTAAAATGCTTTTTCTTTCATTGAGTTAAATGTTTTGTTGTCTTTCAGTCTCGTAGAAATATGTGTGAAGAAGCCCTTTTGAAAATTAAAGGTGTTATCAGTTTTACCTTCCAAATGGGAGTAAAAAGATGTGTTGTGCGAATCCGATCCGATCTAAAAGCAGAGGTAAGTCAGCAGTAAATACTTTTAAGGGTTGTGGTGGGGGCGTATTGCAAGAGTTGGAATTGATACTTCACCACTTTTTCCACATTTATGGTTGGAGTGCAGTATAGATGCTCAATTTGGAAATCATGGTAGTTTTCCAACCAATTTATTAGTCACTGGGAGCAGGGATTTTTCCCTCTCAGTTACTGTTAACCCTGAAAGCCAAAACCCCAATGAGTCCCACCATTTGCTGGACATGTGGTGGGAAGCCTACCAGACAGTGCTGTGCTCTCAATGGCATGCTGACAAAAACAATTTCAGTTCAAGTTAAATAGGCAGATCTGGTTATAATGTGGTGCAGGTGACTTCAGCTTACCAACCCGACCACCCTTATGGCCATTTTCTAGCAAGTTTCCTTTAGAAACTTCCTAGAAAGGGTCTGACTATTGATTCAACATGAGGTTGCCCTGTAGCTGCTTTAATACAACTGATCTCCAGTTATCTAACACAAGTCAATTTTTTTTGGGGGGTGGGATGGCATGCTGCAAGGAAGTTCAACTCCAGGTCACTTGATTCACAGTGACAGTGCTGCCATTTTAATGTTGCTGTCTGCAGTAGACTGCGGTTTTAAACAGTTGTATAACCAATAATACATTCTGCAGAGATGGGAAGGTTTGTTTTAATCACTGCTGTTCTTTGTGTTGTAGGCACTGGCATCTGCTATTGCAGCAACTAAAGTTTTGAAAGCCCAGCAAGTGATCAAAAATGAAACTGGAGAAGAGGTGAGATGGGTCTTAACTGTTGTACATATACACACCAAATAATTTTTTTACCCTATTCTGCAAGGTCCACGTACTAACTGCAACCAAGGCACTTTAATGTACTTTTGTTATTGTTTATGATCAACACTATTTGAAAAGAGAAGGGAGTTTCTCCCAAATAAAATTGGTCATCACTTCATGCCTCTTTGTTGAACTTTGCTGTGCACAAATTGTCTGATGTGTTGGCTTGAAAAATATTCATTACACTTTTCAGTATATTCTTGAGAAGCACTTAGAGACGTCCTCCTGATATGAAAGACGCTATACCAAAGGATTATTATTAAGAACTGCAGTCATCATTGTCTAATGTCAGTCTGAACCAGCTGCAGGAGGATGCATTGAACATAACACTTGTGACTCATTCTGGTTTATTTTCCCTCTCCCGTTGGCTTGGCTCCTGTTCTGTGCTTCCCTACAGCAGCTTGGCTGAGATTTGTCTCACACAGCCAGGCGAATGAACCAAGCTGTACTGATCCCTTGCTCCACACATTAGTGAATCCAACAAGTCTCTTCTAAACATGAAGCTTCACTGAATGAATTACATAATTTGGATTTATACTTTAGGACACAATAGTATTTATTCAACAATTGTATAACCCATACTTTTCATCAACTCAAAAATAGTATTCAGTTTGTTCCTAGCATTGTCTGGGAAATGTTAGATTATGTTTAATGCTACTTTGATGTAAAATAGGAATCTTGGAATAAGGTAAAGATGCAGGTGAAACTTTAATGAAGCTCTCCAGGCACATTAATATTGCTTTACAGAGATTTGTATAATACATTTTCATGTTTAGATTATCAGTGCTTTACATGATTTATTCATTGAATGTAATTTTTACAGGCCTTTTTTGGACTGAGATTGCCTTATTAAAAATGTATTGGCCCCTATGAATACAGATGGCATTCACAAAGGCAAATCATACAATTTAGAATATTGAAACATTTATGCAGTTACAGGTCAATGTATTTTGCTAGTTTCTTAAAAAAATCCTTTAATTGTAAAAATTGTTCAATCCTTTTGAGAATCAAACTTATTTCTCAAAAAATTGTGCCAACTCAAATTTCCTGTGTAGATTTGGAAAAGCAGCTCAATTTGGTGTGGTAAATGTTATGTTAATTGTCTTGCCTCTTAGGAATAAACTCTGCCTTGTCTCCGTTATAGAATATAACTCAATGTTTCTTCCATAAGAAAACTGTCCTGTAGGACATTGGCAAAACATTCCTCATGTTGTTAGTGTAACAAACTTGACAATGTGCTGGGATTTTCTATTGCAGGTGCATATTGTTAAAAGCCACTACACTTGACAATAAGAAGAGTCTAATGCTCATTGAGCTGAAAGAAGTGAATCCATCTACTTTTACACTTACACTCTCGTTATTGGTGTTTTGTAAGCAGTTTGGAGTCAGAGCACTGTATTGATCAGATCAAAACATAACTTTATACTAGGGAGGAATAGTGCAAGATAATACACCTTTAGGAAATGTAAGAAGTGACTGGGGAGAGGGGGATTAAAAGGAACAAAACTTGTGGACATAAATTTGGAGCTAATGCACTCAAAAGCTCTCGATTCCCTCCACGGAAATGTTTAACGTGATTGAAATATTAAGCTGAGTCATCTTCCCACTTGTTTTCAAACGTTTGCTTCATTCTTTTGCTCTCTGCTTTAAATATCTTATCACTTTTGCCTTCAATTCATGTTGGACAAGTAGAAAATCCATCATTTGAAGCCTAACTATTACTACACTACACATATCTAGAGCTGACCACAGTCCCTCCTGCATCATTGGTTCTCAACAGTGTCACCTAATGGCTGAAATACTGTACTACAACAACATTGAATGAAAATTGAATACAAAGATCCTGGATCTTCAACAAGTTTTCCTGACTTAAAAAAAAGGAGTCAAAGATATTTTAACCTATAAAATTGTAGCCTGGAAATTTAAATACAATAAGTGATTTGATCAGACAGCCATTTGTTATAGTCTGAAGAATTGCACATCTTTTGGTGGAGAGGGATCTAATTATTGGCAACTCAATTAAATCAGATTTTTTTAAAAACCTGCCAGTCATGATTCAGATTCAATCCAGACTTTGTTTGTCCTGCCCCATCTTCGCACCAGACTGCATGTAATGCAGAAAATGATTTATGAAGCTGAATCATTTTATTGTGTGGTCATTTTATTACAAAATAGTTTTTTAACTCTTAAACCATGAACAGTCTCAGCAGTAGACTTGCATGGTTTCTAGATTATTGGCAAAGAGGTGCTGTGCTCTTCACTGAGATCACTATTAATATTTTTAACAATTTCTTTGTAGGTGCTGGTTCATTTCCAAGACACCCCTGTTGATGTTGAACAGAACACAGATTTACCAGATTACTTACCTGAAGACGAGAGTCCCAGTAAGAATGGTGACAAAGCTGTGTCTCGTGTTGGGAGCACACAGGATGGCAGTTACAGCTGGTTCAGGACAGCAACAAACTTTTTATCTAGGTCATTTTATTGGTGACAGGTGGTTTAGTTAAACCACAACTTGACATCAGTGGGACTGTTGAAAGGGGGAGACTGTTTTTCCAATTGGTGTGGTGAACTGATAAGTGCAATTTGCAATTAATGCAACAATGGTCACAATTTATAGAGGCTTTAAGTATGCTGCATTTTCACTTAAGCAAGATGTTAAGCCATCAGGGATAGAGGAGGTTGCTTCTGATTCTGCCTTTATCGTTAAATTGCCTCGCAATCATGTTTTGTTTTCCCTCAAACGGGTCCACATACGTATCAAACTACATCAGACTTTAGCAGCCTGCATTTGAATGGATCCTTCTGCAACATCTTGTGCCGAGGTACCCAATTTTGAACCTATCACTTGATTATTGTACAGAAGCCTCACTCAGATATGTTACCATAAGGAATATTGCATGAATTATGCCTTTTTATTGATTTTCATGTTTGAATATTTTCTGTTTGCTTAATTTTGCCTTATTCTGATAATTCTGAAGCCTGTATGTTTATGCCTTTTTATTTTTGTTTCTATAAATTTGAGATTTGTTATCCCTTTCTGTCTGACTGACATGTCTTTGTAATTTATTATTGTTCAGCCATTTCTATATATACAGGTAGAGCCCTACTTAGTGTACAGTAAGTGAGCTGAAATGTTTCCTTTTAAATGAGTTTCATAGCGTTGAATCTGTCAAAAGCCCATTAACTGCACTTTTGAGTAAAATGTCTTGACCATACACATGCAATCCACCACCTCATTTTATTTACCTGTCAGAACATGTATTAAAACTGGTTTGACATTTGAATGTGTGTCATGGGTGATAGGTATGTACAATATACATCATAGAAACAGTTGCATTATTACTAACAATTCATGTAACTAACAATTAGTTTGTATCAATAGCCTGTATATTCCATAAATGTTTATCACTGTAACTACATTTTCCATTAAAATTATTGTACATGGACTACATTTGAATTTAAACTTGGCTTTTTTCCATTATACTGCAAGAACAATATTGGAGTTGTCCTATGCAAACTGATTGTAACTGATATTAATTCAGACAACATACTGTATTAGGCACACAATGAATTGTTAATCAATATCGGCATCTCTTGGTCAATTGATGAGGTAGTGTATGAAGTGTCCATTCCAATGCTGAAGGGGAAATAATCAAATTCTGTAAATTGTATTGTCAATTGTTGCTTGTAATTTGGGTTTAGTAGAACTTTTACATACAAAATAATTAATTCATGTAGTCAAAATTCCAGAAGATTACTAACAAATGTGCATTGATGTAGAAAGTGAAAAAATACACGCACTTTACTCAGCGTTTTCTTTCCTGTACCTCTAGCTACAACCTTTATTTTGACGCATTGATTTTGTTCCACTGGTAACAGCGCTGCCAATCCACATCCTATTTTACCATTCTAGTGTCAGTTTATAGTGAGGCCTGAAGCCAGCAATATTAATGTAATTCCTTTATGCTCTGTTGAGTTGCTTTGTATTTCTAAACAAACAATGGCATGTGACATGCAGCAAATTATCATTTAATAACTTAATTTTGTCTGTATTATGTCCAATAACAGTCTGCTGCTGGAAGATGCAGCACTCCTTAAGTTTTCCTTTCCTCTCTCAAACAGTCTGTGAACTTTTTACTCTGTGCCCTCCAAGGCACAGCCCAAATCATAGATCATAGAATTATACAGCACAGAAGGAGGCCATTTGGCCCATCATGTCTACTGGCTCTTGAAAAGAGCTATCCAATTCAATCCTGCATTCTCCCCATAGTCCTGCAAACTTGTCCTCCCCAATAAATTACTCTCTTAAAAGTTATTATCGAATTGGCTTCCGCCACTCTGTCAGAAATATACTGTGCAGTGAGTTGATTGTACATTTAGTCTTTGCTTCAGTACACATGAATTCACAAATGCCCAATGTCAACTGAAAAATCGGGTTAACACTGATGCCACATTATTCCTTGGTGCAAAGAATTTGTGGTGCTCTTACATAGAGCAATGTGGCACAGAAACAGACTATTTGGCCCAATCAGTCTGTACCAGTGTTTATCCTCAACACATGCCCCCCACCTATTCCTCTCTCCTATTACTTTCTCCCTTCTGTTTGCATCGAGTTTTCTCTTTTTGCTTTTTGCTTCAACCATTGGTACTGGCAGTGAACTCCACATTCTTGCCACTGCCCTTTTAAGTGCTTTGCAGCTGTGCCCCGATCTGCAATTTTTTAAAACTTTGCTAATTTTGATGTTTTTGCATTATGTTGCAATTCTATTGAGAATGCAGGTGTAATAACTAATCATGTTAATGGGACAGAGTTGCAATGGTGTTGCCATGCCCTGCTTTGGAGTTCCTGAGGTAGTGGAGAGAGGGGGGTGAGAAGATTGTTCTCTTGAGTCTTAATAATAATAATCCTTGCATTTGATATAGCACTTGATGACGTCTTCGAGACGTCTCAAAGCGCTTCACAGAATGTACTGTACAGTGAGTTGACTACATTTTGTCTATGCTCTGCTTCAGTACACGTGAATGTTCATATATCTTACACCAATGCAGCTTGAGGTACAAAACTACTCTTCTGTGAAGAGCTCACTCATGGTACCTTTTTCAGATGACTGCAAAATTGGCAGAGTTATAATGAGAACTCTTGGGAAGGGGTGATTGTGCACTCATGCTGCAACTAATGCAAGATTGCAAGGAAATTGCCCAGCAGTGCACTATGCAATATGTTCTCATTCCATCAATGTGCTGAAGAAAGTGTTACACAAGACTCCCAGATCCTCATTCTTTTCTTCCTCCCCTCCCCCCAATCTGAGATAATTGGACGGGTGTCATTGTTTGACATTAAAAGACACCGATGTAGCACCGGTGCCAAATGTTCATTACATCTCCAGTAGTATTCACTGAATTCTAATCATACAGATTTCATAGAGGGATATCTTAGTGTTGTGGACTGTGCCCGGGCTCGGGAGAGCGGAAATCCAGATTTGGTTCTTACTCCTAATCACTATTCAGCAACTGTAGTGGAAAGTCTGCAACTTGGCTTGTTATGGATGTCAGTTTGGTTGAAGAATCTGGCAAGCCTCACTGTGTGGTTTGGGCACGAAAAATGGCGAAGGGGACAAGGTGCTAAAGGTATAGCTGTGCCCATGGAATTCTGTCAGGCAAGTCACTGTATTCAGGAGGGGAGTTCCTGTTCACTCACCCAAATAATTCCTAGAGGAAGATTAGTGTTGCAGCTATTCTGCCTAAGTGACATTGATGCCACTCTGTCTTCTGGAAGGAAAAACACTGAGTGAAACTCATTGTATTAAAAGCAACAAAATGATATTATGGTGTAAATAATGTAAAAGCAACGATATTGGTGAGCTGCAGTAGTATTTAAAAATAGCATTGTGATGCCCCTTCAGAGAAATGCATTTTTGGTTGATAGGAAAACTGGAACATGAAGCGGCCTTTCAGCACATTGATCCTCTTGAAGTCAGTTATTAATCAGTTATAAACAGCTTTGTACTGTGCATGTGTTTGGTGTCTACAAAGTCCACTTGTCCAAGTTGCATATTTTAATGTACATATATAATAATACATATAATAAAATATATAATATTTTATATATATTATATATATAATATATAATAATATATATTTTGAAGGACTCAATATACACAGGTACATTAATCCACTACCACATGCACACTTGTATATGTTGTACATGCATGTCTGTTAAAAGGTATATATCTGCAATGCTAGATATAATTACACACACATTCTTTTATTGTGTTTTTAAGTTTGTCATTTGTATGTTTTGATGAGGCAGCTTCCATATGGGTCATATGATGATTGCATATACATCTGAATGATATCTTAAAAGAATTATGTGGTACTCCCAAATGCTAATTTAATCTATCCATTGAGTACTGATACATGATGGGTAAGAGGCAGTAACATAATACGATACTTTATTGAGTGATTTCAACATTCAATACCTCATAAGATGGGGAAAAGACGTTTGAGGTTTTGTGGGGCATTGTTGTGTGCAAATTGGCTGCCGTGTTTACCTATGAAATAGTCGCTACACTTTACAATAAATACTACGCTTTACAGTAAATCCTTTGAAGTACTTTGAAACACCCTCTCAGGTGAAAGGCGCTATATCAAACGAATGCTTTTTTTTAATGGTGGATTGTATACTGATTTAATGGTTCTGCAAAGCACATAATTTTTTGTAGTGCATGAAGTAATCTACATGCTCAACTTTAACTATTGGTAAATCTATAAAGTATTTACGTCTACATTATCAGCTAGTTTATAACCATCAACTGATATTAAAAACAAAGTGGTTTGGGCTTTGCTTGCACATCTAATCTTCACTGCGTGTCAGTACAACCTAGGGAATGTGACAGGATTCTGAACAAATCAAAATTGTTTTCAGAAACTACAAATACCAAGGTTCCTGATTATGTTTAGGAGCAAGTTGTGTATAATTATTAAAATAAATTGTGCTTTTTAAATGCCATTATTGGAACCTGTGAGAATATTTCATAAACTTTATTGGTTTGTTTTTATTAGCTTTATTGTGAAGAGACTTTAATACACCATTGAAGTATCTAAACAGAAACAATAAGAAAAATCTTATCTTCATCTGTTTCTGTAAAGCATGGGAAGAATAAATGTAGTGGATCATAACCGTTTTAATGTGGTAATTCCCTCAAATAAAATTGGTCATTCAACTCATGGATGTTTGTGGGATATTGCTGTGCACTCATTGGCTGTTTCATTTGGCTACAAATACACAGTCACAGATTTAGTAAATCCAGTGATGTACTTTGAGACATTCTGTCGATGTGAAAGGTGCTGTAACAAATGCAAGGATTATTTTATTAGGTATTAAAAGAATAATTTGTACATTGAAAGATTTCTACATTTCAAGATTTAAAAAAAACTGACTGAAGGGTTCTTGCATTGATTTGAAATCAGCTTGAAATTAAATCTCTTGGTTAAATAGCAGCATTTGTAAAAGTTAGGAGTAATAATTCTGTAGAGTTTTAGAAAAGGCAGATTTGTTTTTAAGCACAAAATTGTATTTACACAGTAAGATGTTCTCCCTGTCTGACAATGCCACCCTATAGCTGGTCAGTAAAACCCGGCAAACCCATCCACTCCTTCCACTCAGCGAATACCAGTCTGCTTCACTTACCCTCCTCACCATCAGCGGTTGAGTTTTCAGCCTGTCTGTCCTTGTTATCAGGGACTCCAACCAGGAGTTTCTATGACTCGCCCTTTCCCTCACATCCTTCAAGGTCTGCCTCAAAACCTTCCTCTTTGGCAGCACACTTGGTCATCTTTGTGCTCTCAGCCCCACCAGCTCCCACACCCCCTAGGCACCCAATCCAGTTCGGGTGCAAACCTGGACTGTTCAGCACCTTGGGATGTCCTCCTGACATGAAAGGCGCTGTATTAAATGTAAATTTGTTGTTCTTGTGTTGTAAAAGATATATAAAATCAGCCTGGGTATCATACCCATTTTCCCTTCAACCCTGCAATATCTTGACATCTCAGAGAGAATGGTAGAGATCAGGACTTGCTGTGTAAAGAATTATTGACACAAGTCTACATCCTAACACACTACGAACATGTCGGAGTATTGCTGCGAAGTGCTCGACCAACGATATTAACAAAACGTGCCAGCTAACCGGGACTTTGCAACTGTTCTTGATCATAGAGCATCTTAATTAATTCAGAAACTCTTAGGTTCCATATATGCCACAGCTTGCAACAAAACTCTTGCAGCCAATCTTTAATAAATAAATTGTAGTCATAGTTGAATTGAAAAAGTATGGAAAGAATATGTGGGGACTTCTTATGTATATTTAACTGTTTATAAATCTATTTAAATTGAGAAATCAACCACTCATGTTATTTTTCTCAATGCCTTGTCAACTTCCCTGTGATT